GAGTAAAATGAGGATCAAGTAAAGACGTTATTAGAAAATAAATGAGTTAAGACATTTTGAAGTGGTATTTAAAGGTCCGACAATGGACAGCAGGTTAGTTTATAAGATGCCCCATAAATCTGTGCAGATCCCACGTGGTCGCATCTCAACAATAGGCTGGGCGAATGGTATATATTTAAAGTAGAAGCATGATCTGTTTAGGCGTTCATTATTATCTTTTTCAAGATAAAGATCTAAGCCCTCATAAAAATCAGAAATATCTCGAGCCTTTAATTTGTATATTGCAGCTCCTGCAGAATGGGGAGACCCCACCATATCTACTGATCAGTCAACGCCACCCTCCCTCCTGAAACACAGCCGCTTCTGCTTTGCCATTTTTAACCTTTCTACGGGTGACATAGCGATAAAGCGATTACAATCACTCAATTAATGGATGTTATGGCAAACAATACACTCATCCTATCTCGTTGTGTCTTGAGACTTCACCACAAATGCCTTCCTTATATTCACTGGCTCCTTAGGTTCTACCTTAGAATGCAAAATGCTGACGAATTTGCCCATCGCCTGATTGACACTGTCCTTCACCAGTCCAAGAATATCATCAAACCTTGGCTCGATACCCTCATCCTCCATACGGGAGCTTATCTTCACCCACTTCCTTTGCAGTCGAGTAGGTAGGCGTCTTGCTATTACTTCTAGTATAAAACTCGAGTTGAGGTCACTCCTTCACGTAAACATAGATAAAACAGAGATGATGAAGATTCCTTGCCAACATCAACAGCAACAACAGACCACAATAAGCATAAATGGGAAGAACCTGAAAGAAACAACCTCCTTCACCTACCTGGGAAGCATCGTCTCAACTACAGGCGGAACTGACGAGGACATCAAAGCCAGAATCGGAAAAGCAAGACAAGCTTTCATTACTCTCAAATCTGTGTGGAGGTCAACAGCATTCAGCATCAAAAATAAGATCCGGATTTTCAACTCCAATGTGAAGTCAGTGCTACTATACGGATCAGAGACTTGGCGAGTCATAAAGAGCATCTCAAACAAACTTCAAACCTTCATTAACAACTGTCTCCGCTCAATACTCAAGATCAGATGGCCAGAAAAGATCAGCAACAGGGATCTCTGGGAGCGAACCAATCAGGAACCGATTGTGAAACAAATAGGCAGAAAGAAATGGAGATGGATTGGCCATACGCTGAGGAAACCAACAAGTGACATCACTAGACAAGCCCTCGAGTGGAACCCGAAAGGGAGGCGGCGAGTTGGTCGTCCAAGGGTGACTTGGAGGAGGTCATGTGAAGAGGAGATGAAAGCATGTGGGCAGACCTGGAGCAGGGTGAAAAAGTTTTCAAAAAACCGAAGTCAATGGAGGTGCGCAGCTGAAGCCCTATGTTCCTCTAGGAACTAAAGGATACAATAATAATAATAATAATGAGGTCACTCACACAATTCATAGAAATCAAGGTATTCTTATAAGTCATAAGATTATCTAAAAACTCAGTAAGTGCCTTGGAGTCATCTTGAAGTTGACTGCCGTTACCTTTGACAGCTTCTTATACGTTCCTTACAATCATCGAACGTCTTCCAAACCTTTGACGTAATATGCTCATAGCCTCAGCGTATCCCTCATTAGGGGGAATGAGCTTACAGCACTGTATAGCTCTTGAAGCATCTCCAGTGCAATACCTCATCAAATACATCAATTTCAATTCATCACTTAATAAAAAACTACTCAGCATGATCTCAAACTCCTTTACAAATAGTAAACAATCAGCTGGGTTTCCATCAAAACAACGCGGTTCAAATTTAGGGAGTTTGATGTTCCTATTATCCTTGAACGGCGAAACAGTAACATCAACCATGTCATGCTTAACATCAGACACATCGTACAATTAAGCGACAAGTCACAATGGCTTACTTTCCTGTTTGCATCCAAGACGCTCTGTCCCTTCTTTGACCCAGGCATTGCTGAACTTGACCCAATTCCAAAAACGTTCCAGATATTGCTTGTTCAAAGAGGACTTGACCGGCACCAGGAAAGATGAACGGCGACTATCCAAAACTTTCACCAAATGTTTGAATCCGCCAGATCTGTTTCTATCGTCAGAAACTGTCAGTCACGTCTCGTAAACCGTTAATGCCCAGCTCTTGCTACGCTCGGGCTCACGCTGTTCCTTGAAGTTTTTCAGAAACGCTTAGTAATAACGGACGTAAAAACCAAAACACCGATTGGCCGCTTTGGAATTCTTTATTGTAACACCAACATATAAAAAATATTTCTACTAAGATCTGTGAACAAATATTACAATAATAAACCACAAGATTACTTCTGACGGTTTAATGCTGACTTCTTTGTGAACAGTGACCGATGAGACGATGACTGTCGTATTGATGCCTCCGCGAAAATTGGGGAAGTTGATTTTGAGCAAACAACCAAGAATTGATCGTTCAATCTTCAACTCCATTGACATCCATTATTTACATGAATGAGCCAATCCTTCTTGTTCGTGTAAGACACACATATAAATTCATAAAAGAATTGAAATGTAAAAAGTGTTTCCATATGTTCTGGGTGTTCAGACGGATTTGTGCGTCGGTGGCACAGTGGTTAGGATTCTCGCCGATCATGCACATGGTCCGGGGTTCGATCCCCTGCCGATGCACACCTGATATCTCTGGTCGACCTGGAAAATTTGGGCTACCGATAGCCATGCTGAAAATTTCATACCTGTACCAAAAATACGGTGTGTGGAATCAAGCTGTGATCAAAAATAATCAAAAATGAATAAATGAATTTAAAGGGTCCATATTTTTGGAGCTTAGCCACCAATATGTGTTTCAGAATACGTATGAGTTAATGGTACAATAATCTAACAAGAGCTACCATGTCTGGATTCTTTAAAATAAAGGAAGACCTTGTTTTTATAACTTGTAAATAAGTGTTAGAGCATCGTCTTGTGAAACCTAGTGTTTCCCTTTTTTCCTACATAGCTTCACACAACATCAGTTCATTTTTGATACCGCAATAGAAAACATTTCGCTGAATAAATGATTTCCGATTTTGTATTTTTAATGGTTTGTCGGGTGGAGGTAAGCCTTGTAAGGAGAGATATTCGTTGCGAGGCTAGCAATCAACTTCCCCCCCCTAAAATAACACTAATGGTGCAAGAGCTTCAGGGCCCAAAGACATCTGTCTCGTTTATAAGTCGAAGCGATGAAAACTACTAGGCAGCTATCTAATGCACTCCCATATACATACACAGAAACCAGTCAAATCTCTGTTATTAAAATTAAAGTTGGATTTAATTTGGGTGACATGAATGGGCTAGAACGAGAAGCGAAAATCGAACCAACCCAAAATAGCCCTGCTGGAGGAGTAATGTGGGGGTCAAAGAACTTCTCCATTTCAGTCGAACCCTCAACGACCACTTTGTTATCCGTGTGCGTTGGAACATGGGGTGGACTGTTGAATTTTAAAGAGACAAGAAAATAGCGGCTTCTGCGTGATTTGATTGTGTATGACTACCATTTGCGGATTTTCAACTCCAATGTAAAGTCAGTGCTACTATACGGATCAGAGTCTTGGCGAGTCATAAAGAGCATCTCAAACAAACTTCACATCTTCAGTAACAGTTGTCTTCGCTCAGTACTCAAGATCAGGTGGCCGGTCAGAAAAGATCAGCAACAGGGATCTCTGGAAGCGAAGCAACACAGCAGGAACCGATTGTGAAACAAATAGGCAGGAAGAAATGGAGATGGATTGGCCATACTCCGAGGAAACCATCAAGTGACATCACTAGACAAACCATCGCTCGAGTGGAACCCGAGAGGGAAGCGGCGAGCTGGTCGTCCAAGGGTGACTTGGAGGAGGTCATGTGAAGAGGAGATGGAAGCGTGTGGGGAGACTTGGAGCGGGGTGAAATAGTTGACAGAAAACTGAACGCAATGGAGACGCGCAGCTGAAACACTTTGTTCCTCTAGGAATTAAAGGATGTAATAATAATAATGCCTACAATTTCTTCAAATCATCGTCCCTAAATACACCTTTCAGTAGCAGCGATTCTTATGTACTCCTTTTCCTGGTTGAGGTGATGTTAAGAACAGCCTAGTTAACAGGTTATGCTAGCCAGGCTAAAGAGTCAGAGGGTAGTGAAGCCAGAGCTCCGGTCAAGTAAAATGGATATTCAGACATCATTTGTGAGCGTTATTCCTAATAGAAAAGAAAAGGTAGTGAGCTCGAAGTCTTTCAAGCAGCCCAACCAATTGGTTTGTTAGAAGGCTTTTCATTATCCAACATCGGTCAACAGATAAAGGGGCTCTGCAAACCATTATGAAGATACATTCCTCATTTGGTTACCAATTTCATCCTTCTGAATCCTGTAAACTCCAAAATCTCTGACTGACTGCGGAGTTTTGTGTTGGTGGAAAATTACAACTCCACCTGCTGCCAGCCTTATTTTTGTTCGATGACTTCGGGCAAGGATAAAGAGGCTTCTGTCCCTATAGAGGCACTCAGACAAGCAAGGAGTGTTGTAGATGTCATACATAACTGACAAAAAACGGAACATTGCGATGTTAAACTAACAAACAAACAGCGTTTTTAGAAACCAAAACGCAATGAATGATATATATTTCTTGTAGTATACATCGATTCGCATTATACCCAGACGGTAACTACCTGACTACCGTAAAATGATTCAGAGACGCCCTTTCCAGAACTGTCACTGTTCGCAGCACCTTTCCCCCGAGGTATGGGCAGAGAAGTAGACTTTCTTACTGTACACTGATATTATTGTTTACACGCCTCAAATGATTTGGCTACTGTGAGATTTACTTCGTTGCAGAAACCCCTTCATTAATGTCACCGGAGCATATACAGGAGACATGTTCGCTTCCCATGGAAATATATGACGACTGTTCGTTGTTTACTTCAACTCTGTGAGCAATAAAACCCCGAATTAACTAGAATTACCAAATTCCAGAAGTTAATGAGATGTGATACAAATTTAAATGATGGTTGTTCTGGTAGGTCACGTACAGTTAGTGACGATGAAAATGTTTGCAGCAGTACAACTCTGACGTTTGAAAGTACATTATTGGAAGTAACAGGCTGCTTATTGTCAATTAGATTCTACCGTGCCTTCATTAAGCCTGTGGACTTGAAAAGTATATCTACACTGCCATCCGTTAACTGTGTCTTTAGTATATGGCATTTTATATGTAACTGAATTGGTGACGCCTGTAAACCGACGTCCCTCACATACACACATTGTTAGCTGAAGATATTCGTAAATAAGGCAGAAAATAACTCAGTGCGGAGTCCTTCAATTTCTACAATGAGATAGTCAAAACCATGAGTGATTTGGGGCTAATGAGAAGAAAAGTAAATCAACTCACGAAATGGCTGCGATTTCGATTCGGAATAATACGAATTATCCAAGATCTTTTCTGTAGAAAGCACCAAATTCGCAATACAAATTTCGTGGAATTGATGACAGAAATTATTCGGAAAGGCAGCCGATGATTAAAGCCATCACAGTTCCTACGATAATTGACCTTTTGCAGACCTAAAAACCCGCATCTCACCAAACACATCTCTCATGCTCATGTGGGGCTATGAAGTCACTCTCCTTCAAGGAGTGTGAATTCGCGTACTGGTTTGACGTGTAACGCATCAGTCCTAAGTTATCGGTGTTTTAAATGGAGTTAGAATATGCGACTAACATTACTCAGCTACTATCTGTGGCTCGCAAACGTTAGAGAGCGTGCAACAGACGGCCTAAATTCAGGGGTAGGTTAATAGCAGAGTTCACAATTGCCAATAAGCCCACATCCTGCACACATTAAAATGTAATCTGAGCCCTTTAAATAGTCCTGTTTATTGTTGAGTATATGAAATGGTTTCCCCTCTTACACCATGGGTTATCTTCAGACAACCTTCCTTAGAGAAGAGAAAACAGGATACCTACGGGTGTTTCCCGGATACATTTTTCCATTTCATTATTAAAATCAAAAGATCTCTGGTGAAGATGCAGGTGGTATTGACCACATTAATAGCAAAATCGCAACCAATACTAACTTCCATTTATTTAAATGAAGCAAAACAATCGTCTTTTGAAATAAAAATGAGTGAAATAAATTAATTAAGTAATTTTGTTAGTTTTACTTTACTAATCGGTGTCTATCAATGTTCACCGCGGCTATCTGTAATGTCCTTGAGGGTGGGAATTTTAATGTCAATATGTAGGGTTTCGTTTTGGTGAGTTTCCTGTTTATTCCCCTTTTAAATAGCGTCGTGCTTTATGCATCTATCCTTTATTACTTGGTTTAATTATCGTTTTTCAAATGACTGACATAGTTGTCAGTAAGTATACTTGTGTCCACTGTGATTGTATATGATCTGAGTGATGTGCAATTTTCGCGTCCTTGTGTGTTTGACAATTAAAAAAGACAAGCAACTAGTATGAAGAAACAGATATGAATATGTCTCGAATCCAGCATGATTCTGGATGCTTGGCTTACCAAAATACCGTGTCGTTATCTAATGCGCCATAAAGTCCTTTGTTTGCGGCTTCCTCCTTTTGATTATCGATTTTTCTTAGTAATCTCTCAGTTTTGTTGACAACCACCTCACTAAGGGTAAGGAGTGGTTATAAAATGGGGTGATTAACTGACTTTTGGGGGTTCCAGATGCTTTCATTCGTGTAGAAAACTTCGTGCATACCTTTCTTGACGCAATGTTGTTCATCGATTTCAGGTAGTGGCCTTGATGTATTTATCTAAAGATAACCACAAACTAGCGCTATAGGATTTTAGTTCGAGACTGGAAATTATAGTAACAATGATGTGATCCTTAGCCATTTGCATTCACATCCACTTAACAATTGCACAAACTATTCGAAAGCTTTTGGTAACATCTGGCATCATACAATGTAGTGTTCGAATTCGTGATCAGATAGCTAAAAATTTGAGAGCCTAAAAAATGTGCAGCATCTGCATTCGACGTACTTGTAGTCCTAATCTTAGCAGCTTCAAGTAATGAAGTGTAATCGTAATCTTTGTGTTACATTATCTTAATTATGGGATTTTCTGACTATAATCTTAGATAATAAATTTTGTGACCTTTCTTTCATTGAAGGTTGTACACATCTTTCACGTATAACATGCAACTTCATAGATCATAGAAACTGCCTACGTCAGTATTGAAACCCTCCTAGAAATTCAGCCCTCAACCATTTCGGTCTCTTTCATATTTACTTATTAGGTTGAGCTTAGACATGCACAACTTTTGTCAGTATTTGTCAATACTAATTAGTCTGTTCCAGTTCAGTACATTGTATTCAAAATTTGAAATCCTTTCATTGTATCGGTCACTCAGTCATAACAGTTGGCTAAGGGAAGTCGAGACGAAAATTCAGATTCAAGACACGAGAAGCACAAACGATTATGAAATTATTACTCAGTGATATAGATACTTCCTGTTGCCATCATTATCTAATTTGACTGGTTTGGTAAAAGATTCCCCGCAAAATCAGTCACTGTAAAATTCAAACCGTACAATAAAGGCCTTATTAATAATGTTTGAATGGAAATAGTGAGAATCTTGGGGAATCGCAACACTACAGAAATTAAAGAGTCATTCAACAACAAATTGCACTTTCATGCTAAGTTGAAAGTGAGCCACACCTATTGTGTATGAGAGCTAGTGATACTAATTGCCTGCGCAAACCTTGGTAGGTGGAATCGGATTCAGACCCCTGATACACTTGTGGGAAGTCGAGTGCCTCTATCAATGAGCGACACCTCAACATCACCACACAACTCAATGTAGCATTAAAAATTGATAACCTTGTGTGTAGTTTTGAGGTCTAACGAAGAGTGAAACTTGAGTTTGTCGTGATTTATTTTTCATACCATATTAAATCGGTGTTATTACCATGGTCATTGTTGTTATTTTTGTTGTATAACTACATCAGTACTTCTGTTACCATGCTCCAGTTTCTATAAGATAAATTTAGGTGTCAGTACTACTTGTGTGTATTATGTTCTGTACGAATTTCTTTAGGGTGACTCGGCACAGTAATTACTAAATTTGTATTTTTAAGGTAGACATTTTAAGAATAGGCCTGGGAAATAATGTACAGTGGTTTAAGCTATAATATCACGTATGTGTACAAAGTGTGAAAAAGTGCAAATACTATGATTTAACGGTGTACAGCGAATAAGACTACAGGAAAGATGGTTAATTGTAACTATGAACCACACGTATTGTCTGTAGTCTGATTATAGTATTGTATCTCCTAGACGGAAGTGAGCAGAGAAGGACTCGAAACTGGCAGAGAAGTAGAACACTTATATCGATAGGTGGTTTAGTGCAATTCACATAGTGTTTGAATACATCTGCACTATGAGAGTCAATTCTATACCATATTACAGTCTCTGAAAATAGATTTCTATCGCCATACAGATTCCAACTGGGTAAACTGCAGGATTTTCACCAAATGACTTGGCTGCAGCACATGATTTTCTGCCAGTAAGTTCAGGTTTGACATCCCTATCTTCTTCAAATTTGGGGACTAGGTAGCGTCATTAATCCTTAAATAATCACTGCAAATAGTAGTCTGGGTGGGACAAGGGAAATCTTTTTTGTGGGTAACTAATACTGCTTGTCCTAGTTCAAGATTGTGTTACATTTGAATCGCTCAAATCAAGTATGAAGATGCTATGAAGATGAAAGTGGTGAAATACTTATGGGTGGTTTGTGTGTGTGTATGTGTTGAATAAACTTGGCTTTCAAACCTTAGAACCTATTAAGTGAAAGTCGACTGCCTAAGCCAATAGGCCTCCGTCCCTAACTGAGGCTACTAAAGCTGTCACCAATCCGAAACAAGAGACCTGATGGAATAACTCCAGAGGTACGGTGGAGACAGTTTACTATCTGCATTAAATGAAGTACTAGACAACGTGTGGGAATCAGAGGAAGTCCCGTCGGGTTGGTGTAAGTCACTGATTATCCCCATACACAAGAAGGGAGAGAAGTCTTCCTGTGATAATCACAGAGGGATTAGCTTGACTTATATAGTATCTAAAGTCCTAGGCTCAATAATCATGCGTAGACTAAATGGTGCTCAGGAGGAACAAACACGAGAGAGCCGGGCAGGCTTTAGACCAGGAAGAGGGTGTATTGACCATATCTTCACCCTCCGACAGATTCTAGAACATAGGAATTCCTACCGGCGTCCAACAGTCATTATATTTCTTGACCTTAAGACGGCATTCGATTCTGTCGACCGAGAGGTTCTCTGGAGAGGCTTGGCTGTAAAGGGAATTCCGAGAAAATACATTGCACTGATTAAAGCACTCTACTCGAACTCAAGCAGCTAGGTGAGGGTTTACGGCGAGTTGTCATCTGAAGTGGTGACAACTAATGGTGTCCGTCAAGGATGCCCATTATCCGCATTCCTATTCAACTTCATCATAGATGTACTTATTTTGCGGGGGAGCCGGCTTCATGAACGTCTCGAATCATCGATGCCCAGGCGCGGCAATTTGTAAGAGAGTTCATGAAGTTTCATGGGAATTTGGTACGAGTGATGTCCCCAGCATCGCTCGGCCTTTTGTTTGAGAGTGCAGCTCTAGCCTTTATACAGCCAAGTGTGACCTACAAGGCAGTAGGAGTGGAGTAAGGAGTCCACTATCCATTGGCAGCCGGTGACCGGAGTTCGGTTCATACGCCTTTTTGAATGGGGCCAGACATCCAGGACATCCAACAAGCCCTTTGTCCATACGTCTGCCGGTGAGCTCCAGTGAGCTTCATACGCCAGTCGTTGAAGGTTTGGAATCAGGGTTTAGCCATCTCCCCTAGACTGTCATCCAATGGACAGTCAACCCGGTGGAGAGCGCCGGGCATCCGCTTTCGCCCTCTCACTTTGGTGAGAAACACCTCCGCCACGTGAAGGCAGTGAGTAGGACTTCCTCAGGAGAGGCTATGTAAGATGCCCGGTCATATGGGAGCATTTCAAGAGGTGTGCGGAGGGGTGGCCGACCCGCAGCGCAAGGCACCCACCCCCGACCATCCTGAGGCTTTGGAGGCATCATAGATGTACTGATGAACTTAACCCTAACTCACTTCAGAGACACAGGGATTAACTTGCTACCATCAGTGGAATAATCTCGTTGACTTAGAAGATGCAGACGGTATAGTCCTTCTAGGCGAGGACGCTGACAAAATGCAGAGTCTTCTGAACACTTTGAGCTGAAATCTACGAATGTTTGACATGCGATTAGCTCCCGCCAAATGCAAGATGATGTTACAGGACTGGACCACACTGACTCCTAGTTTAGAAATATGGAGTGAAGTGGTAAAGCACGTTGACCGCTTTACTTATGTGGGAAGTTGCATCAGCCAGTGCCAACGGGTTGATCTCTGACGAAATCTCCGCACGGATACAGAGGGCTAGTTTCGAATATGCCAGTTTACACCGTCTCTGGCGTAGACGTGATGTCCGGATATCGGTCAAAGGGCGTGTGTACTGCTCATCAGTCCGCTTCGTCCTCCTTTATGACCGTGAGACCTGATCACTGAGAGTGGGAGACACGAAAAGATTAGCTGTCTTTGATCATAGGTGCCTGCGCTCTATCTCCCGTGTTGAGTGATGTTATAATAAAGTGAGCAATATTGAGGTTAGGCATCAATGGAATGTCAGGTAAGGAGGGGAAATCAATCGATGGGGCTGTGAAGCTACATCGACTGAGATGGTTAGGACATGTGTTACGTATGTATGTATGTATTCCTAGTCATCGCCTTCCTCGACAATTGGGGCAATGTTAGCTGATATAGGGTCAGGCTGGAAAAGAGCTAGTGGCGGTCAAACCAAAACATAGCACCAGTCAATGAAATCCACAACAGTTAGTCTAAGCTACGTAGGAAGGTGTAGACTTCCAGGTTGGGGTCCTCGGGACGGTAAAAATCGATGGTTGGAAACAATTGGAGACATGGCTCAAAATCGTTCTCAGTGGCTGGCCAATGCAGATGCATCCACTCCTTGTGACTTATGATTTCCAATGAAACTGTTTTGTTCTTCGTTATTACTCTTCCTTTGTCTCACATCTCTGCTCACTGTTTCTATTATGCTTTTCTTGTACTTTCTTCTCTTGCTTCGCGTGCTACACGGAGTGTGGCGACTTGAACTGGTGCACATCAGTGCGAAGTTCTATGTCGAAAACGGACAGACCTAAAATGGTGGCTACATTGCTAAAGCTGACTGATAGAATTCAGTCTGCACCAAAGAAAGGATTAGATACGTCACACTGGTTACTGGTGTCCAATCAAGAACTTTCGATTATTCTCGGTTGTATCTTTACGTGTACCCACACTAAACATCGATAAACATACCCAGTTACCCTAGCACAGTAGATCAAAATCCACTGGTTTAAAGTCGAGTACCTTTACGTTAAACTACAGTCACTTTTTAAGCGAATGCATTGGTTTCCTCCACGTTATGAAGTGATGCCTTCGCTAAACGACAGCAATATGCACTTCTTATTCAAATTATTCTTCTACTCTGTGGGTGTTGTTTTTAGCTGTCTCTCGCGCTGTAATGCTACTGTATTTCAGAATCAACCTTTCAAAAGCATATATATGTCTCATCTCTTTCAATTGATTGACATGGTAGATAAGCAGAGGAAGTCAATGGACGAGACTGAATTATAAAGCTACATCGATTGAAATGTCTAGAACACATGCCATACATGTGAAGCCATCTCCATCAATGCAACTTCACAATCGGTTTTATCAATTGATTTTCTCTGCTTACCAACCCTATCACATCAACCAAATTGAAAGAAATCAGATTTGTATGTATTTTTGAAAGGTTAATTCTGAAATACAGCAACATCACAGAGCAGGAGAGTGTGAAGAAACACGCACAGTGTAAAATGATCATTTGTGCATGCTGAGCGCCATCGCCTTCCTGGGCCTGCACTATTCGCCAATATTGGATCAAGTTGGAAAAGGGTTAAGGAGTGTCAAGGAGTCCTTGATAGATGATTTGAGCTAGCCACGTAGGGAGGTGTAGACTGCCTATCTGGGGGAGTTGCATCAGCCAGTGCCAGCGGGCTTGATGGCTGACGAAAACTCACCACGCATACAGAAGGCTCGTTTGGCATATGCCTGCCGACTTACGCCAATTCTAGCTTAGTAGACGTGATATCCAGCTGGCTGTCTACCAAAGGGTGTGTGTACTGCTCAGCAGGAGTTCGCTCCATTCTCCTTTATGGCTGTTAGTGAGACATGACCATTGGAAGTGGAGGATAATAAATGCTGGCTAGCTGTCTTTGATCACAGGCGTCTGAGTTTTATCTCCCGTTTTGAGTGATGGTATAATAAGGTGAGCAATATTGAGGTGAAGCATCGGTCGAGTGAGCGCTGGGTAAGGAGGAGGGGAAATCAATCGACGAGGTTGTGAAGCAGATACATCGATTGAAAGAGATAGTTAGGACATGTGTTACGCATGCATTCCTAGCCATCGCCTGCATCGACAATGGGTCATATTAGCTGAGATAATATGGATCAGGTTGGAAAAGTGCTAGCTAGTGGTAGTCAAACCAGAATATAGCTTTATCAGTCCATGAAATCAATAACAGTTAGTTTAGGTCACGGTCGGAAGTATAGACTGGCTTCCTGGTTGGGTTCTTCGGGATGGTAAACACCAGTTTCTGGAGACAATTGGTGATGTAGCTGAAAATTGTTCTCATTGATGGTGCAGATGCATTCACTCTTTGTGATTTGCCGTATCCAATAAAGCTATATTGTTCTTCCATATCACTGTTCGTTTTCCCTCATTCACGCTTGTATTGATTATCTCTGTTTTGAATTTCTCTGTTTACTCTCTTCTCTTGTGCTTTGTTCATTTTACATGGAGGGTGACTGGGGACTCAAACTGCTTGACATCTGTGCAAAGTAGTTTTATGTTGCAAATCAGTCAGTCAGTCACACTTTCGTGTATACTTTTGCGTTGAAAAAATTTTTGTTCAGGTTGTGTGCTCTATTACTGTCATCATTAATTTATATTGTATGAATCGTGTAATGTGTTTTATTCGCGCAACACATATCGAACAATCTGACTACACACGGACTTGTTATCAGAATATATATGAAGTTAATAAAGAGTTAAGGGAGGTGAGAAAATAGACAAGTTAGTTCAAGTTAAAAGGCCGTCATATTGAAGGTCAAAATAACAATGAAGATGAATGACTAAACCGAATAGCCTAGGTATCAAAACAAAATTTACCAAGGAAGGTGGTTAAGTGTGATGATGAATTGTTGCTTTGAACGCATAAATGTGGTTTAAACTTTCTAATTACCAGCTAGGGCTTCCACAAACTTTAGGATACGTCCTCCTCCTAACACGTTTTATAGATAGGTTTAAAAGATCTGTTAACGCCAAGTTTATATCCTGTCTCTATAAGATATTTCGCAAAAGAGGAGCTAAGTCTCCTGTTCTCACCATTAATGAGTTCTGAGGATTCTATTTGCTTCTGGAGCCATTTAGGAATATGCTCTGAAGTCCTTACTTGCAGAGATATGAGTCCTCCCTCTTGTATATGTGTGTTCACACGTACATTCAAATCGGTAAATACAGTAGGATGTGACATCATTTTTCGCATGTTCTAAGGGCTTAGATTGATGGATATATTGACTTCACATTCTCAATTATTATGATGTTAGCTGCATAAAAAGTCTTATAAACAGCAGCGTTCAATTTGTGTCTAGTTGTCAAGCTGTTATGATGTCCCATATAGGGTAGTTTGATGTACACGGCTTTCTTAGGGGTGATTTGGAGAGTGGGTCTTGGTGTTCCACTGACTACTTCATATTTCTTGATGAACTTGTCTGGATAATTGTTATCAACCAGGGTTTGTGTCAACTTTCTTTCTCCCTTATCAAGTGTGTCTGTCTTCAGTGCATATTCGTTAGATTCTATTGAAGAGGCACCTCACTCACTAAGGCTCTTTTATACCGAAAAAGGGCAGATACTGTGGTAATTAAAATATTGTCTTGTCCAGGTAGGTAGGTTTTCTATAAATAGATCTTTTTATTGACCCATCAAGCCGTCGACTAAGCAATATGTCTAGGAAAGGTTAACAATTATCTTCCTCTTCTACAGACAGATGTAAGTGATATGCTATTCTGAACTTCATTCATTCGATTTAAAATTGAGGTGGCAGAATAAGACTTATCACTGATGATTACAATATCATCTACATACCTTTTATAAAGTGGCACGTTTTCGATTTAATACTCCGATAAACTCTCAATGTACGACATATAGATATCTGCTGAAAGGGGCCTCTAACGGACTTCCCATAGCAACACCATCAAAATGGCGCCTTCAAATGTAAACCTAACATTATTACATAGAAGTAATAAATCCCTTAAATAAGATATGGGGAACGGAATGAAAAAAATGTTTGTGAAAATGTAATCACACAAAATGTCAACTGTTTTGAGCTAAGGTACCATTAGTGAATAACGAGTTTACATCAAAAGAGTACATATTCTTATTCATAATATTAATATCGTCAAAAAAAATTAACCAATTCAAATGTATCTTTTAACACATACTTACAGAATTGTGTTTTGACTGGATGCAATAATTCTACTAACCATTTAGCAAGTTTATGCGTTGGGGATCTACACAGTGACAATATAGGACGTAGACGATTATTGCGTTTATGTATTTTTTGGCAAACCATACATATGCGGGAATTTACAGTCTGATGGCTTTAAAGAGTCAAATTTATCTTTACTTATAGCATTTAGGCCATGAAGCTTCACTCGGTTAACTGTCACTGTGCCGTGCAACAACTGAATATCTTCCAAGGAGGGGGGGGGTACAGCTAAAAATTTGCTTTTATCATCAAGAATCGACATCATTTTAAATTTGTAGTCACTTTTATTCACATAATGACAACTCCAGAACCTTTATCAGGTTTCGTAATTGTGTTATATTAGAATTCTCCCGTAGCTCTTTCAAGGCTTTGAAATGCTGAGAATTTAAAATACTTTTCTCCTTTGGGTTGTTGTCCGTGTGTGATGGATCAGATGTTCGAAATGTGTTGCACAAATACAACATTACACGATTCAGACAAATTACATCTTATTGCGATAACCGACAAACTGGTCGAAGGAACAGCCAGCGAAGACAGGACTCCATGTGAACATAGACAAGACGGAGGTGATGAAAATAACCAAACAACAACAACAGCAACAACAACATCCAGCGCCAATCACCATCAACGGGAGGGATTTGAAAGAGGTTACTTCATTCACCTTACTTATCTAGGGAGCATTGTCTCAACTACACGCAGTCGGAACGGACGAGGATGTCAAATCGAGCGAGAATCGGGAAGGTGAGAAACACATCAACATCATCAACCTGAAATCAATCTGGAAATCTTCATCACTCAGCTAGTATCAACAACAAAATTCAGTCGGATTTTCAATACAAACAAACGTCAAGTCAGTCACTTCTTCTATACGGATCAGAAACTTGGCGGGCGGGTCACAAAGAATATTTCCAACAGCCTGTTGCAGACCTTTATCAACTGAAGATCAGATGGCCGGGCCGGAAAGAATCACCACCAACAAGAAACTATGGGAACAAACAAACAAAACAAGAACCAATCACCAACCAACAAATATGCAGGAGAAAGTGAAGAGATGGGTTGGACACTCGCTGAGGAGGCCGAGTGTCATGCCGTCGAGTGGAACCCGAAAGGAAACTGGCGAGTGGGACGTCCAAGGGTGACATGGAGGAGATTGTGTGGAGAGAAATTGAAACAGTATGGATTAAGATAGATGCAGTGAAAAGTACAGCAGAAGTAAGACAGAAGCAAGTGGAGACGTGCCCTATGTTCCACTAGGAACCCAAGGGAACAGTAATAAATAATGATAATAATAATATTGCTTTATCTATATTTATTAAGGGAACTAATTGTTTTAAATATTTATATTGTGTTATTTGTTTTAGTTATCTGTATACGTTTGCTACACTTGTTTTGCGCATACAACACGATTGCCGTAATAGTGTGATTGATGCTCTATAAACTGTCATTGTATTTTTGTGTGTTTTAGAAGCCTTCATTATCGTCGACGTCATCAACATTCTCATCCTCATCATCGTCGACATCATCACCATCCCACTGCTTTTTTTTCGAATAAAACATGAATTATTGTGATTATTATTTAGTTATCCAATTATTCACGCTTGAGACAATAACTGCTAGCCAGCCATACTTTCGATTCTCTGTATTTTTCACCAATATATTCTAGAATGAGTTATCCACCGGACGCTTCACGTTCATGTCATGAAGCTGATGGACGAAGTGACAGAAGTGGAGGTAGTGGTGGAGGTGCAACAAGTGGAAGCGGTGGTGGTGGAGGTGTCTATGGAACATTATGCAGTGCATTGGGGGGTGGTGGTTCTGGGGGTACTACTACAGGCAAATGGTCAACTACAACAACTAACAGCACTACTGTCACTACACCATCTTATACAGTTAATCCTGACCCACTGTTCTGTCTGTCTTCATCAACTAATCCAACTGATAATGACCGGATCATGTGTAATTGGAAAAAATGGTCATTAGGCCTGGATTATTTACTACAAGATAGTGAAGGTGTTGCTCTATTCAAAGCATATCTACAATATGAAGGCTGTGCTAATCTTCTTGATTTTTGGTTTGCATGTCAAGGTTTTCGTAGTAAAGTTGATCCTTCAGATCATCGAAAAATTACTCAGCTGATTAAAGCTATTTATCGGACTTATATAAGGGGGGCTGGTGGTGGTAGTAGTAGTAATAGTAGTGGTCTTAACTCTCAACCACTCATGTATTTAGGCAAACAACACCCCCACCCCCATCAACAACAACAGCGGCAGCAACAACAATCTACATCTTTACTACATACTCGAAGTGAACCGATCCGTCTGAGATCAGAGACTCGGCATGCTATCACTGAAAGAATATCACGAAAGCATGGTTTAGATCAGACAGTGTTCGATTCAGCTCAAGCTGAAGTGGAACACTTTCTACGGACAACAGCCTATCCGGCATTTTTAAAATCAGATATTTATGTTGACTTTCTACAGACAACATTAGTAGAAGGCGGCGGCGGCGGTTGCATTACGCGTAAATTTCCTGCCTGGTGGGAAGAACAGTCCACATCGTCTACCACCGCCTCGTTTTACCAGTTTACTACTAATGTGGATAAACAATTGGCTACAATTGCTGCCGGTGGTGGTCTATCCGATTATCAGACGAATAATTTAACGCTAGCTGGAAAAGTTCTTCCTACACTGGATGAAGATCGTGAATTACAGTCTGAAGAATTGTTGTCGTCATTATCAGATCCTACAAGACAACTGCGTAGACCATGTTGTTGTCATATGATGTCACCTGGCAGTGGTGGTGATCCAGTTGTTATGCCACCTGCAGATCATAGTCATTGTCAACATTGTAGCAAGTGTCATATGTATAATCCATGTATGCCAATGGATTGTAGCCAGTCTGGCTTAAGACCTCCATGGTGTTATCAACAGTCGTCACCAGGTGGTGTTCCTACTAGTGGGTCAGCGGCGGCGGCAGCAGCGGCAGCTCCTTTAACTATGGAAAATTTACAAATGACTAGATTTTATCGAACGGAATTATCGCTACAACGTCCCTATCTGAGCAGTAGCAGCGGTACAGGTAGCAGCAGTCTGCATGCAACAAAGTCAAGTCAAGAAGGCGAGCAGCCTACAGGGCATACTCATGTATCACGGGGTTGTGGTTCAACAACAACACCCTGGCGTTTTCATACTCGTCCCAATTATGTTTACACACATTGGGCGGATGCTATGTGGTAAGTTTATCAAAATGTGTTTTTTTAGGTTGAATGTATCAATTAGTAGGGTTTTCTGAGTATGGTATGTGTTTTGCGCCGTCTAAGTGCAAAGTACTGTTACAAGATTGGCAGGAGCCTGTACCTGTACTCACTCTTGCAGGTGAACCGCTTCAAGTTGTTGATAAGTTCGTGTATCTGGGTAGTTGTGTGAGTGCTGGCGGAGGGGTGACGGATGAGATTTCCAACCGTATAATGAAGGCTAGGGTGGCATTCATCAACTTTTGAGCCACCTATGGCGCCGTCGCGATGTTAGCTTGGCTATCAAAGGTCGGGTTTACAATGCTTCGGTGCGGGCTGCCCTGCTCTACGCCTGTGAAACCTGGCCTCTCCGAGTAGGCTGAGGATGTGCGGCGACTCTGCGTGTTCGATCATCGCTGTCTTCGCAGGATTGCTTGCGTTCGTTGGCATCATCGTGTGAGTAATTCTGACGTTCGGCGGCGTGTGTTTGAACACAGTGGAGATCACCATTCATTGAGTGTCGTCATCTAGAAACACCGGTTCCGGTGGCTTAGACATGTGCTGCGAATGTCATCCCAGAGGCTTCCGTACAGGTCTGTGTTCGCTAGCCAGCCCTGGGACGGGATGGAAGAGGTGGTCAGTCCGTGACGTGGCGTCGTGGGATGAAGGATTTTTGTGCTAGATTAGCATCGATTGGTGTGTCACGACTCCCTGAGTTGGGGTCCGAGAGATAGCTCAAATCGATGGCTCGAAACGTTATCGGATATGACCAAGAATCACAGTGATCAATGGCGAACGTGTTGCAATTTCCTTCTTTCTTCCCTTCCCGACGATAGTTAACGAATACTGTTTGAACTTGTTAATTCAGCATGACTGTTTTCCTTCCAGATGAAGTTCTTTATCCGTTGTCTACTTGTATTTATTTCTTTTTTTGATCTATGTTGTTTTATTATTATTGTGTGGCGCATCCTTCTTGGTGTCATATTGTACCAAGTTTTTTATGCGTTTAAATAAATAAATAAATAAGTTTTCTGAGGAGCTGGTTGGCTTAGTTGCAGTGGAGCTCTTGTCATCCACCTTCTGGACAACATCACCCCCCCCACTTTCAGTGCAATTTTTAAACATAAAGCGAACAGATTTAAATTCTTTTTTTTTCATGAGTGATAGAATTGCGTCTCTTGGTAACCATTTTTGATTTTAAACTTTCTCGGCACATGATTAACTTTTTCTATTAGTTGGTAGATTTGGTCTATATTAACGTGTTTATTAATCGCATATTCGTTTGAGTACCTAGCAGGCTTCTAGGAATTCTTTGGCATTGCTTTTGGTGTTTCCTCTGTTTAAAATTTCGACATTATTCCAATCATCAAACTGATATCCATTATTATCTACATGCCTTGATTGATATGAAAGAATGTATATACCATGTCTTTTCACAGCTGATTTGTGTTCCTGGACTCTGTCTGATTCGACGGCGGGGGGACGTCCATTTTGTTGACCAGTGTGTAATGTCTGTTACAGTTCATACATGCGATTTATTTTGTAAATGGTATTAACTAATAGAGAAGATTTGTAGCTCAGGTAGATGACTTCCAATTAATACTGTTCTCTGAGCTGGTTGGTTTAGTTGCGGTGGAGCTTTCGTCGTCTTCCTGCTGGACAACATCCCCTTTCAGCGCAATATTTAGCATAAAGTGAAATAATTTAAATTTCTTCATGAGTGATATAACTGCGTCTCCCGGTAACCATTTTAGATATGTATTGACCGTTTTCTACTGACTTGGATTTTAAACTTTCTGGTCACCTGATTTAATTTTTATTAGTTGATATATTTGGTCTATATTAACGTGTTTGTTAATTGCATATTCGTTTGAGTATTAAGCAGGCTTCTAGGAATTCACACCTGACAGCACTTTTTGTGTTTCCTCTGTACAAGATTTCGACATTATCCCAGTTATCAAACTGATGTCCATAATTGTCTATATGCATTGATTGATATGAACGAATGTATATATCATGTATCATGTCTTTTCACAGTTGATTTGTGTTCCTGGACTCTGTCTGATTCGACGGCGGGGGACGTCCATTTTGTTGACCAGTGTGTAATGTCTGTTACAGTTCATACATGCAATTTATTTTGTAAATGGTATTAATTTTATCTTACTTCTTTTTCTGTTAGATGGTTCTTTCGGTTTGCACAATATCGAATTAAGCGATTTGACTGGCTTGCGTGCTATATATATATATATATATATATATATTTCAAACGGTTTCAGTATTCTAGCTGTTATTTCAGAGATATTTCTCATGTATGGTGCGATGAATTTTCTTGTAGTCTTTGATGATGGTTTATTGTTGGTGTTGTGATTCGATTTGAAACACTTTTTGATGAAATTTTGTGAATAACCATTCATTTTTGAAGACCGTTTGTTGGTATTTTTCCCCCATTCTCTTCAACACTGGAGTGCTACAGTGTGTGTGTGTGTGTGTGTGTGTGTGTTTGAACTCTTTTAAACAATAATATACACACAGTTTCTTTTGTGTGTAATTGGGTTATTGCTACTATAGTTGAGTTGAGAAGGACGACGAAAGCCCTGCAACTAGACTAGACCAACCAACCAGGTCAGAGAACACCACTAATTTCAAATCATCCACTTGAGCTACAAAACTTCCCTATTATTGAATGTATCACTTGACACTGGAAATGTTTTATTGCGCTGCTGTGTGCCAGTGACACTGAGCAAGTGGTCTGGATTCTAATACCGGACAATGTGCACTCCTAGACGTTGTCTAGCCAGTCAGCCAGCCAGTTGGAGGTGGTAGTAAGCTTGGTAAGGAGGGATGGTTGGGTGTGTGAGGCTGGTGGGCTCCTCCATCAGCACATTACGGAAACTTCATAGCACATTAAGCTTTATGTGCTCCCCTCGGAATGCAAAATAAATGGTAGTGAGATAAGTTGTTATAGCATATCATAGCAGTATGAGAACTTGCTGCATCTGTATTTAGTGTTTCTTACAATATTGCATCCAGTTTTTTACATTAACAATAAATAAAGTTCTACATAGATTAAAGTTATCTCAAACATATTTATGTGGGAGCAAAGCCAAATTTAAACAGTGTTTGAAGGTGTTAGAGATAGAAACTACTAGAGATGAAAATGTAAGATCTACTTTAAAAGAACGGTTATCAGCTATGCGATGGGACTATAGTCATCAGGAAGGGCTAAAGACATTGTCCGACCGCGTTGTTTGTTGACTAAGTATATATATATATATTTGATAAAATATAAGCTTGGTACATTATGGTACCAGGAGGTGGTGCGCCACACGAAATGCCATAGTTTGTGTGAGGTCTGTGATACTGCCTTGATACTCTGAACGAGGCACCTGTTCGTCTCAAGGGGCCACTCTCTTCCCTGTCCTTTGACTTGTATTCTGATCCACAAGGCAGTGGAACAGCGTCAAGAGCCATGTTCTTTTGGTTTCTGGGCTCTCAAAAAGATCCATGTATGTTATAAGTGTGAAATCAGAGTTTCCCAGGTTCCCCTAGGTGTGTAGACCTGCGCATTTCCACCAGTCCAGTTGTAAGCTCCAGATGTTCGTACTCATCCTTGGATCTTGTGGGGCCAGTTTACGCCGTCTCTGGCGTAGACGTGATATCTGACTGGCTATCGACCAAAGGCCGGGTGTAATGCTCATCAGTCCGCTCCGTCCTCCTTTATGGCTCTGAGTGAGACCTGGCCATTGACAGTGGAAGACATGAAAAGACTAGCTAGCTGTCTTCCACCATAGGTGCCTCACTCTCTATCTCCCGTGTGAAGTGGAATAATCAGATGAGCAATATTGAGGTTAGGCGTCGAGTTCTAGGTAAGCAGGGGAACTAAATTGACGAGGTTGTAAAGTTACATCGACCGAGATGGTTAGGACATGTGTTACGTATGTATGTATGCCTAGTCATCACCTTCCTCGACAGTGGCGGAAATGATAGCTGATATAGTGTTAGGCTGGAAGACAGCTAGCTAGTGGTGGTCAAACCAAAAAGTGGCTTCATCAGTCAATCAAATCCACAACAGTTAGCCTAAGCCACTTAGGAAGGTGTAGATTGGCTTCCTGGTTGGGGTCCTCGGGACGGCATAAACCAATGATGGCTGGAGACAATTGGTGATATTACTGAAAATCGGTCTCAATGGCGCAGATGCATCCACTCCTTGTGACTTATGATTTCCAATGAAACTGTTTTGTTCTTCGTTATTACTATTCCTTTGTCTTACACCTCTGCTTACTCTCTCTATTATGCTTTTCTTGTAGTTTCTTTTGCTTTGTGTGCTACATGGAGGGAGTGTGGCGACTTGAACTGGTGCACATCAGTGCAAAGTTCTATGTCGAAAACAGACAGACAGGGGGAACACCTCGCCGTACAAAGAAAGTGAACAGGGACCTATGCGGCGGTGACAATGTGCGCGTGTTCACACGATGAGAGTACTTCGAGAGAAAGACTGAAATTCACTCACCTTCTTAGCCGTACCAGGTCCTTTATGAGGGCGGACTAAATATTCATCTCTAACCTACGTGAAAGTTTGTGTGATCCAGTCTTTATACACTAAACTGGGTAGTTACTAGTGGCATTTTTTTTCTCCTGGCTAAAGTAGGCCCGTCGGGAGTCGAATCTTGGGACCCCACTGACTGAGGAGAGTTCGACTATGGAATAATTTGTTGAGATATGCGAATCACACTGTCACATTACGGGGGGGGTAGCATCTAGAGAGTTTGTCCCACTTCACTCCAGGATTCATCTGCAAGTTGTGTGAACTAAGGACGCGCTTTAGGTCTGTCTCTGTCCTTTTTTCGACATAGAATTTCGCACATATCTGCAGCAGTTCAAGTCACCACACTACCTCCGTGTAGCACACAAAGCAAGAGAAGAAAGTAGAAGAAATGTATTATAGTGACAGTAAACAAACATGTGAGACAAAAGGGATAGTAATAACGAAGAACAATACAGCTTGATGCGAAATCATATGTCACAAGGAGTGGATGCATATGCACCAGCCAGGTATTGAGAACGATCACTTTGAGCCATATCACCGATAGTCTCCAGCCTTCATTGGCTTTTACGGTCCCGACGACCCCAACCAGGAAGCCAGTCTACATCCTCCTGTGTGGCTGACTTAAACTAACTGTTGCGGATTTCATTAACTGGTGAAGCAATGTTTTGGTTTGACCACCTCTAGCTAGCTCTCTTCCAGCCTGACCCTATATCAGCTAACATTGCCCGTCGAGGAAGGCGATCACTAGATATATGTAATAATTGTCGTAACCATCCCAGTAGGTGTAATTTCACGGCCTCATCGATTGATTTCCCTTCCTCCTTACCTAGCACTCCACTGAGGCCTAACCTCAATATTGCTCACTTTATTATACCACTTCACACGGGAGATAGAGCGCAAGCACGTATGATCAAAGACAGCTAATCTTTTCATGTCTTCCGCTCTCAATGGCCACCTCTCACAGCCAATCGTTAAAGGAGGACTGAGCAGACTGTTGAGGTGGCTCAAATCCTCATCGAATCTCTCTCTCCACTGGCATATTGCCATTTATTCTGTTCTACATAACTGACCTATATCAGTCATAACTTCAATTGTACATATGTGTATGTATCATTCGCATAGTGATTGATCTGATGTTGTTGTTGTTGGTGGTGTTTTTCTTTTCCAGTCCACCGTCTATGGATCCACGTTTAGGAAATCTGCCCAGTCAACCACCGAATCCATATCATATTTCATATGCACCAGTTTCAGCACGTGATTCAGAGCATCATAGTTTATCAAGTGATGCACGAACCGATGATACACATTCACACACGGATAGTAGTCAGTAAGTTTAGACTATTCTACTGTTTTCGTTTTGATAAACATTTTTTAAAAATTGTTATCATCATCTTTATTGAAACGCATTTTTTAGCATTATTATAATAATATTATTGTTATTATTACTATCATTATTATTATTATTATATGCTTTAATTCCTAGAGGAACATAGGGCTTCAGATGCACGTCTCCATTGCGTTCGGTTTTCTACCAACTTCTTCACCCCGCTCCAAGTCTGCCCACATGCCTTCATCTCCTCTTCACATGACCTCCTCCAAGTCACCCTTGGACGACCAACTCACCGCTTCCCTTTCGGGTTCCACTCGAGCGCTTGTCTAGTGATGTCACTAAATTGTTAGTTTCCTCAGAGTATGGCCAATCCATTTCCATTTCTTCCTGCCTATTTGTTGCACAACTGGTTTCTGATGAGTTGGCTTATTTACAATAATAAGGTGGGAATAGATTTATGACTTTCGTCTATGCCTTTAGGCATAAATCTGACCTAAACAAACTGGTTAGCACTCACACGAGGTGTGCAGCACAGATGGCACTGAAACAGAAACCAAGTCGGAAATTAAATACCTAGACGTCATTCTATCTGCTGATCTTTCCTTCCTGGTCGTCTCATATCTTGATGATTTCTAAGGAAATATTCCGTCTTACCTTCTACATCAAGAAGTTAAGATATTTTGGAATAATCCAACCTTTACTCTAACGCTTCGTTGACTCTTGCATCCTGCCTATTATTCTCTATTGTTCCCCCTTAGTTTTTCCAGGGCTACTGAAGAAGGATTATATCTTATTAAGTAGGGTGTTAAAGTTGTCAGAAGGGTGAGCAACGTGCCACTTAACCAGCTTGTTAACATTCTGGTTGACAGGCACATGGACTCATGTGAAAAATGGGCGAAATCCATTTTATCTGACTCACAACACCCTCTTCATTCACAACTCTCCCCTTGTATCTCATCAGGCAGACCAGAAGCCTATATAGAAAACTATATGCTCGCACTAGTAAGTACAAAAACTCAACCATACCCTACTTAGCTCGTGTTCTGTGCGATAAAGAAAGCATTAGGCGTGATACCTATAACTTATTAAATAGTCAGTAGAACAATTGGATGTTGTCTATCCAACTCATATCATTTATAGGTACAGCGTTTTCTCTCTTTCTTTCTTTTCCTTTTCTCTCTCTTTTTTCTGTCATGTGCTCTCTTGTTTCTCTTTTCCTTACAAACTCTATTAAAACATTCTTCGTTCTCTCACACTCTGTATATCTCGACCTTTTTTTTACCGCTTACGCCAGTAAATATTCTAGCATCTTCTTTTCTAAAACCTTCAAATACTCTGTTGAGTTTTGATTTGCTACCGACATGCCAATATGTTGTTGTCATAATGAACTAAGATTGTCCTTAATCTATGTAGAATTTTATTTATTGATAATGTGCTAACTGGATGCAATACTGTAGTATTCCATTCCGTATTACAAGTACTGTTTTGTAATCAAGCATATTATTATTATTATCTCTGTGACAAGGCTGCCTACTGTCTCCAGCGATTTTCCTGATTGCGGTAGACTGAATAATGCGGCAGACAACGGACCGGGCAGTGAGGAAACAGGCATAAAATGGACCACCCACACAAAAACTTGGAAAATCTGGGCTTCGCCGATGTGATATATTATGTCTGATTTCCCACAAACTGGAAGATATGCAAGTGATAAAAAGCAGCAAGTTGGCAGAAGAAGCATCAAAGATGGGAAGGAGTTCAGGTGAACATAGAGAAAACAGAGGTGACGATGAAGATCCCGGCCAACAGCAACAATAACAGGCAACAATGAGCCAGCATAAATGTGAGGAGTCTGAAAGAAGCAACCTCCCTTACCTACCTACCTACCTGGGAAGTATCGATTCAACTGCAGACAGATGGCACTCATGAGGATGTGTGTGTGTGTCGGTGGCACAGTAGTTAGGACTGTCGCCGACCATGCACATGGTCCGAGGTTCGATCCCCTGCCGACGCACACCTGATATCTATGGTCGGCCTGCAAAATTTGGACTACCGATATCCATGCTGAAAATTCCATACTTGTACCAAAAATACAGTGTGGAATCAAGCTGTAATAAAAAAAGGATATCAAAGCGGGGCTCGGAAAAGCAAGGCAAGCTTTCATTACTCTCAAGTCTGTGTGGAGATCAACAACACTCAGCAGGAGAAATAAGATCCGGATACTCAACTCTAATGTGAAGTCAGTGCTACTCACTATACGAATCAGAGACTTGGCGCGTCATGAAGATCACCTCAAAAAAAACTACAGACCTTCATCAACAGCTATCTTCCCTCAATACTTTGCTCAACATCAGATGGTCAGCCAGAGGAGATCAACAACAGAGATCTCTGGGGGCGAAACAACCCAGCAGGAACCGATTGTGCAACAAATCTACCGTATGAAATGAAGGTGAATTGGCCATAATCTGGGAGCATAAACCATCAAGTAACATCAGATGCCAGGCCGTTGCTCGAGTGGAACCCGAACAGGAAGCGGCGAGTTAATCGTCCAAGGGTGACTTGGAGGAGGTCATGAAAAGAAAACATTTGGACAGACTTCTACCCAGATGATGAAAACGTTGACAGGGAACTGAACGCAACGGAGACGTGGGGCTGAAGCCCTATGCTCCTCTAGGAATTAAAGGAAACAATACTAATAATGGCTTTATTCCAAACGGTACTTTTGATGCAATATGGGATTTTCAGCATGTAATACTGGTAACAACAGAAGGCAAGACGCGGAAGCCAAGTTATATTTTTCATTGATCAAAACATCGACTGAGATGGTTAGGACATGTGTTACGTATGTATGTACGCCTAGTCATCGCCTTCCCCGACAATGGCGGCAATGTTAGCTGATATAGTGTTAGGCTGGAAGATAGCTAGCTAGTGGTGGTCAAACCAAAACATGGCTTCACCAGTCACTAAATCCACAACAGTCAGTTTAAGCCAGCCAGCCACATAGGAGGGTGTAGACTGGCTTCCTGGTTTGGGTCCTCGGGACGGTAAAAACCAATAGTTGAAAACAATTGATGACATGGCTCAAAACCATTCTCAATGACTGGCCAATCCAGATGCATCCACTTCTTGTTACTTATGATTTCCAATGAAACTGTATTGTTTTTCGTTATTACTATTCCTTTGTCTCACATGTTTTTTGTTTACTGTTTCTATTATGCATTTCTTCTACTTTCTTCGCTTGCTTTTTGTGGTACACGGAGTGGAGTGTGGCTATTTGAACTGGTGCACATATGTGCGAAATTCTATGTCGAAAACAGACAGACCCTAACTGACTTCAGAGACTTAAGGAATACCACGGAATAATCTCATTGGATTAGAATATACGGATGGATATACTCTTCATAAGTAAAGTCACTGATAAAATGTAGAGTCTTCTAAACATCTTGAGCAGCAGCCATCTTTGAAAGTTTTGGCATGTGATTATAATGAGAGCTGTCTGCTAGCCAAAATTGGTAGACAGAAAGAATAACGTCAATGTGTACGTCCAAAATCTTAGTCATGAGAAAAAACACAATAACAAAGACTAACTCAACAGACAATAACAGCAGACTTTGCGTGGGTGGATACAACTCGCAGATATATCACCGGACTGTTTAAGAAACGGCTAAAGAGATGACAGAATAACCTTCAACAGGAAATTAACCAATCAGAAGACGACAACTTCCTGTTAACAATGACGCTTATTGAGAATGGTTTTGAGCCATGTCACCAATTGTTTCCAACTATTGGCTTTTGCCGTCCCGAGGACCCAAACCAGGAAGCCAGTCTACACCCTCCTATGTGGCTGGCTGGCTGGTTGGCTTAAACTGACTGTTGTGGATTTTAGTGACTGGTGAAGTCATCATGTTTTGGTTTGACCACCACTAGCTAGCTGTCTTCCAGCCTGAACCTATATCAGCTATCATTTCCGCCACTGTCGAGGAAGGCGATGACTAGTCATGCATACGTAACACATGTCCTAAACCCCTCAGTCGATGTAACTTCACAACCTCGTCGATTGATTTCTCCTGCTTACCTAGAACTCGACGCCTAAACTCAATATTGCTCATCTGATTATACCTACCACTTCACACGGGAGATAGAGAGTGAGGCATCTATGATCAAAGACAGCTAATCTTTTCATATCTTCTAGTCTCAACGAGTACTGGGCTCGAGCCTTGGTGGGAACATCATCACTGACTCACTGGGAAATGCAGGTACATCCAGACGACGAGTCCCAAGTAGGACGAAACGCGCATTCTGGATTCCACTGCTAGTCACCATCCACCGATTAAAATTGTATTAACGGGGGTTTTGTCAAAGCAGTACAAAGAATCAATATTAGCTGGCTGGTTAATTGGCAGTTAGAATCACATAATGCGCTTATATATTGTTTCAATATGAGTCTTGTCTTCTTTTTTGTTTAACTATTATCGTGAAATTCTCAACCCCTTGTAAAAATAGATGATGTAATATGATATAATAATCACAGCTATGGTGAGGAGAGGCTTAAAACATCACTAGGGTGAGAAGAAAGCACAGCAACACAATAGCACCACCAGGAGTAGTAGTAGTAGTAGTAGTAGTAGTAGAGCTCTGCTAATCATTAGAGTGTTCTTTGATGATGTGTTGCTTTGTTTTTCTTTCTTGTTTTGCTTTTTTCTTTACTTCTTTTTACTTTTCGAGGTTAATCATCAAAGAAAAGACCCCCGTCTTTTATCATCATTTACAACCACTTAGAGAAAGATCAATTAAAAATCACCACCCCGGCTAACACACGTGAAAAAATGTTTAGCGGAAAAAAACAAACAAAGTTTTATTTTATTTTTAGTGTTTTTGATGTATGGAGAAGGCACACAAATGCGCAAGCACGTACGCACGCACACACACACAAGCAAACATGGATATAGATACACAGACAGACACATGTACACACACACAGATGAAGGGAATGGCTCCGGCCTTTACTTTGAAGATATATAAGTGTGGAATTCATTGTTTGCGTCTGTGTGTGTGTGTGTGTGTGCTGTATGTGCTGCACACATACACACACACGCGTCTTTGTTCTATTTTATAAAATAGAGTAGCAACGTCATTGAGCTAGGCAGTGAGTGAGTGAGTGACTGGGTGCTTGAGTAAAAAGATGAAAGGTCTTTTTTCTAAAAAAAATGATAATAATATTCATCTATTTTTCAATATTATTTTAAAAAACAATACTACCAGTACTGCTAATAATAATAATATTAATAATAATAGTAATAGAAGTCATGCTAACTTGACCGCCGTCATCATTGATCATGATCACATCATAATCACCCTGTATATTATTTATGTATGTATGTGTGTGTGTATATATATGTTGTACTGCTTTTGCTATACTACTCAGAGGAGGAGAAATCGATTATTCACTCTCTTTGTCTCTCTGCATCTCATTTGGAATGTTATTTTTGAAAATTATGTTTTGCTAGAGAGGGTATTCAACATCGTGCCAAAAATCAAGCCTATCTCTATTGTCTCACTAACGTCTAACTGACTGACTGGGTTTTAGCGTAGAGAACCACTGCACAGAAGTGGAGCACTTTAAACTGCCACATTTCATGCATGTGTGTGCGTGTAGCACACAAAAGTGTACAGAAGTGATTTTGAACTGTATATCACCCCAATACCTCAGCTCCACCCGTAGGCATCCAGAGTATCCTAACTAGACAGTTGACACTCTTTTCCATCCTAATCTGATGTCAGTTAACATCATTACTCGTGGAAGAAGACCGATGGTTCTGATATGTGTTCTAGTCATCTCAATCGATTCAAATTGACAACCTTATCGGTTCGGTTGATTTGTCTTCTTTACCTAGTACGTCTCGCCTCAATGTTGTTCAACGTATATTGTATACCAGTTAACATGTGAGAGATAGAAACGCAAATATCTGTGTTCGACAATAGTTGAGCTTTTCATCAATGACTGGGTCTCACATCCATAACGCAAGACAGAACGACGTATCGCCGGGAAGTACACAAGGTCTATGAAGGATATCTGAATATCATTGATATAAGGATAAGACTTGGGCACTGTAGTCTGTCTCTGTCTGTCTAGATTTAACATAGAACTTGGCACCGAAGTGCACCAGTTCGAGTTGCCACGTTCCAAATAGCACACACAAAGGTAGACAAGAAGATGAGTGGAGAGAATCAATTGAGTTTGACAAGTATAAGAGTGAAACAGAATGGGTAATGGTAGAAAGAAATGTGAAAGATTACAGAGACTGAATACATCTGCGCTGTCATTGACAACGATTTTGAGCCATGTCACCTATTGTCTCCAGCCATTGATTCTTAGAGTCAGTCCCGAGGGCCCCAACCCGGAAGTCTGCATCTCCCTACCCTACCTGACTCAGTTTAACTGTCAAGGATTTCATGGATTGATGCCATGTTTTTGTTTGTCCACCACTTACCCTTTTCCAACCTTCACCTATATCAGCTAGTAATGGCCGTCGACGGGGGAGGCGATGGTTAGGCATGCGCAGCACGTCACCTAGCCATCTTAGTCTATGTAACTTTATAGCCTCGCCGATTGATTTCCCTCTTTGCCTGACCAACACTCTACGCCTAACGTCAACATTACTTACCTTATTATACCACCACCTAACGTGAGAAAGAGATCATAGACATCTGTGATCAAAAACAGTCAACCTTTTCATGTCTTCAAGTCGTATTGGCCATGTTTCAGAGCTATATAGAAGGACGTAGCGAACTGATGAGCAGTACACACTATTCCCTTGGTTGATAGTCGGATGTTACGCCTACGCCAGACATGATGCTAGTCAGCGAAAGCAGCTCGAGCTTTTTGGATTCGTGCACTGTAGTGGTAGAGTAGAACTCCATTATAGATAAGATTTTATTTTGATAAATCACACAGTAAAGAAAAAATCCCCATTAAGACATTTAGAAAACAGAAAGATTGAGCGAAGAAATATTTACTTTTCAATTAGATCCTCATCTCTGACTCTACTCTAATATATATAGCATTTTAATTACAATACAACAGTTTGCCAATCAAGTGGTGATAAGTTTGTTAACAATAATTAAACAGTGTCAATGGGTTAATAGTTAACGAAGAAAATCACTACAGATTTAAAAGGTGGAAATGGTTAGAGTAAATTAATTTTACAAGAATAACACGTAATTAAAGATGAAGTGTCAAAATAAATAAAATAAAATAAATAATTTAGACAAATATAATTTTATAGGTTTAGGGGGAGGGGGCGACGCAGTCCTGTTTATCCATTCTTGTGACGATGGCCACGGTAGGGAAAGTGGCTGTGCAAATTTTTTCTGTACACACAGGCTTGGCTTCTTCAGATGAATGCCAATCTCCTCAGCCGTCTGTAGAAGACGAACTCGCAGAGCAAAATTAAGATAAGTCGGAATGCGATAAATAATTTTAAATGCTGTATTAACATCAATCTTATGCTCAGTATCAACGAGGTGGGCTAAAACAGAGCTACGAATAGATCTTTTTTGTCCCTTACTTAACCACGTTGGATGATGTTCGGAAATACGACGATGAACTTGCCTAATTGTACGCCCAATGTAGCTGGCTCCGCAGGTTCAGTCAAACTGGTAGATACACATAGAGGAGGCGAATTCAGGTAGTTTATCCTTATTTCTCGAACATAAAATAGGTGTGGTTGTAAAGAAAAGTAAAGTAGTTGAAAAGTAAATATTTCTTCGCTCAATCTTTCTGTTTTCTAAATCATACAGTGTAGTGTTTTACAGTAATATTAACTGATGACCACGTTTCGAGCACAAATTATGCCTGCTCATAATCATCTCAAGGCAATACTCGGTGGCACAGTGGTTAGGACTCTCGCCGACCATGCACATGGTCCGGGGTTCGAGCCCACGCCAGCGCACACCTGATATCTATGGTCGGCCTGCAAAATTTGGGCTACCGATATCCACGCTGAAAATTCCATACTTGTACCAAAAATACAGTGTGGAATCAAGCTGTAAATCAAAAATAAAAAAATACAAAAATTTCTAACTTCATTTGTATACATGAGTGAAACTGATGATTAGATATTTGAATAAAAATCACTATGGGATAATGCACATTCAGAAATAATAATAATGATATGAGTGTTAATGATCAATTACAATCAGATGGGAAATAAGACGAGTGTTTTTTTATATTCAAAATAATGTAATGTACTTGAATTGAAACACAATTTTAAGATTATGTATTATCCTCCTGTGATTCGACTGACTGGTGATAATAATATCTTTCATGTATATCATTGGTATTTGCACTGAGTCACTTCTATTGCATGTGATGTGTGTTGCGTGTAGACTCAATGAACCAGGATTCAGTAGCTCGGGGGGTAGGCAGATTGTCGGAGCACAAGCTAAGGTAAGAATGGTTGACCCGAGAAGGTAAGTAATTTAGAAGAAAGCTCAGCTCTAGCACCGCATGCATAAACACACAACCACACAATAGGATGGGAGAACGTTACGATTCTAAGAAGTAATGTATAGGGGTGGAGAGAGAGATTGATTACTGAATCCTGGTTCATTGAGTCTACAGTCAGCACATGCAACAGAAATGACTCACTGCAAATACCAGAAATAATATGGAAGATCTTATTACCACCAGTCAGTCAGTCAGTCAAATCAGAGGAGAATAATAAATAATCTTAAATTGTATTCTATTTCAATTGATATTCTATCAAGTTACTTGTTTGACTCTCTGTCTGTTTTCGACATAGAACTTTGCACAAATGTGCGGAAGTTCAAGTCGCCACACTCCGTGTAGCACGCGAAGCAAGAGAAGAAAGTACAAGAAAAGCATAATAGAAACAGTGAGTAGAGGTGTGAGACAAAGGAGTAATAAAGAACGATTTTGAGCCATGTCACCAATTGTTTCCAACCATAGATTTTTACCGTCCCGAGGACCCCAACCAGGAAGCCAGTCTACACCTTCCTACGTGGCTTAGACCAACTGTTGTGGATTTCATTGACTGATGCCAAGTTTTTGTTTGACCGCCGCTAGCTTTTTTCCAGCCTGACCCTATATCCGCTAACATTGCTCGTCGAGGGAGGCGATGGCTTGGCATGCATACGTAACACATGTCCTAACCATCTCAGTCTTTGTAACTTCACGACTTCGTCGATTGATTTCCCCTGTTTACCTAGAACTCGACGCTTAACCTCAATGTTGCTCACCTTATTATGCCACTTTACACGGGAAATAGAGCGCAGGAACCTATGATCAAAGACAGCTAGTCTTTTCATGTCTTCCACTCTCAGTGGCCAGGTCTCACAACCATAAAGGAGAACGGAGCGGACTGATGAGCAGTACACCCGCCCTTTGGTCGATAGTCGAACATCTCGTCTACGCCAGAGTCGGTGTAAACTGGCAAATGCGAAACGAGCCCACTGTATTCGTGCTGAGATTTCGTCAGAGATCAACCCGTTGGTACTGGCTGATAGTACTTCCCAAATAAGTGAAGCGGTCAATGTGCTCTACCACTTCACTTCCTATTTTTAAACTAGGCGTCGATGTATTCCAGTCCTGTAACATCATCTTGCATTTGGCGGGAGCGAATCGCATGCCAAACATTCGTAGATTGCAGCTCAAGGTGTTTGACTATGGGGCTTTAAGCTAGACTGCCCTCAAGTTTCAGTAGCAGTGGTGATTATTTTAACAGAATGGGGTTGCTAGCCACCTCATACCCCCCTAGACTTTCCATCTTTTCCAGTCCTATTACTAGCTTAATGAAATAAAAGAGTGCATCGGTGGTGCCGGGGATCGAATCCTGGACTACATGGTGTGTGTGGTGTCATTGACGCATTGCGTCTAGATACTATTGGTTATTCTTGTTAGTCGCATACACCACAGCAGCCATGTATATGTACATAATATGTGATCTCCTTTTTTCATTTTACAGTGATGGTGCTTGCAATCGTTTACGTGCCCTAAATCATCGTTATCCAAGTCCATTCCAACTCTCTCGTTCGCATACCAACAATAATAATAATACTGCTACTAGTAACACCAACAACAATAAACATCAGAGTCAGTTATCTCTTCGTCATCCTCAACAATATCCCCACCACCATCACCATCATCATCATCAACATGGACCATCAGCCAGTAATCCTAATGAACCAACAGGATTACAATGTACTTCACCGAAATCCTCCTCTTATCCAATAGCATTTCATCAAGGCTTACAACAGCAACAACAACAACAACAACAGCTGCAACACTCGAATCCATTTTGTAGAAGTCCAAGTGGTTTAGGAGGCAGCAGTGGTGTGACTGGAGGTAGTCATATCCAACATTATCCAACAGGAAATATCCCTATCAATCCACCGACAAGTGGTACAGCGAATCTACTCATCCCTAATATTACCACCACCACCCCAACAACAACAACAACAGCGACTACTACTACTAATAATAATAATCTGAGTAGTATTCAAACAAGTGGAGAAAAAACTATCCAACAATCATTTGATTATAATTCTAATAATAATAAATTACAGCAACAACAGAAACATCAACGTCGTCTAGGCAGACGTGGTACAAGTTCACGTCCATTTACTAGTGATAAAACAAAGTCTTATCATACTGGAAGTGGTGGTCCTGGTGGCGTCGGTGTGAGTTCAACTGGCGTTGGCGGCGTACAACAAGTCAATAAGTCTAGTAAATCAAATAATCGTTCATACAGTATGGCAGAACATGATCCTAAAGGATTTGCACAAATTTTAACAGAAAAGCTACAACGTTTGTTAGAAAATCAATTGGTTACTGAACGACTAGATAGTCTTATGACTGAGGTGAGTGTAAATCACTTTGTATTGTATGCATTTCCCCTGTTTTGTATGTTATCCTTTTTTCTGTCTGTTTGTTACAATCCTGGTGGCATACTGATTTGGTTGTGTGTGTGTGAAGCTCTGACACGCTTGAAGAGAACTTGTTGTTTGACATGGGAGAGTTTGGCATCAGCTTGTAGTCATGAAGCACCTAACTCAGATTTCTTTGGTTGGGAAACAGGCGTTGCACCATCTAGGGGACGTAGAGTTCGATCAGTGATATATTTTTGGTGAACTGGTTCTAACTGAGGACAGTGTCTGTGGCGACTTGTTAAAGAGGGTCGCCGTGTGTGCTTGTTGCTGGTTAAAACCATCTCTGGCACCGGTGTTGCTTATACAGACAAGATTTGACAAGATATCAGGCACCATACTGTCAGCAGTATGATGGAGGTGTCGTCTTTGCGTGTCGATTAGTATTGCATGAGTAAGTGAGACGATAGATGTTTGATGTAGAAAGGGGACCACGAGGTGTGTGGGGTCCGAGGTTGTTGGGATGGGAAGTCTGGTGAACTTTATGTGTTTCAAAACCATCTTGGTGTGTCTAGATTTTACTAAAATTGGTTATTCTCGAGAATTTTGTCTAACATTGAAGAATTCAACAAACCTGTTTTTTCAATGTTTGGCAATACGTTGAGTTAAAATAGAGACACACTGAGTTGGATACAGACGTTCTGGTAGCGAATCCCGCTTTATACGACAACTACTTGTTTCTTCTCTGTGTACTCTACTTTAGCGAGAACACATAACGATGTGAGCCGGAAAGTATATTTTCAAGCAGCCTACTTATTATAATGATGTTTCAAAGCTATATTGTACGGCATCTGTCTCTTTTCGACATAGAACCCTGCACAAATGTGCACCAGTTCAAGTCGCCACACTCCGTGTAGCACGCGAAGCAAGAGAAGAAAGTACAAGAAAAGCATAATAGAGACAGTGAGCAGAGGTGTGAGACAAAGGAGTAATAAAGAAAAACAAAACAGTTTCATTGGAAATCATAAGTCACAAGGAGTGGATGCATCTGCTCCAACCAGTCATTGCGAATGATCACTTTGAGCCATATCACCGATTGTCTCCAGCCATCATTGGCTTTTACCGTCCCGAGAACCCCAATCAGCCAGTCAAAAAGTCTACACCATCCTATGTGGCTGGCTGGGTTAAACTGTCTGTCTGTCTGTCTGTTTTCGACATAGAACCCTGCACAAATGTGCACCAGCTCAAGTCGCCACACTCCGTGTAGCACGCGAAGCAAGAGAAGAAAGTACAAGAAAAGCATAATAGAAACAGTGAGCAGAGGTGTGAGACAAAGGAGTAATAAAGAAATACAAAACAGTTTCATTGAAGATCATAAGTCACAGGGAGTGGATGCATCTGCATTGGCCAGCCACTGAGAACGATTTTGAGCCATGTCACCAATTGTTTCCAACCATAGATTTTTACCGTCCCGAGGATCCCAGCCTGGAAGTCTACACCTTTCTACGTGGCTTAGACCAACTGTTGTGGATTTCATTGACTGGTGAAACCATGTTTTTGTTTGACCGCCGCTAGCTTTTTTCCAGCCTGACCCTATATCCGCTAACATTGCTCGTCGAGGGAGGCGATGGCTTGGCATGCATACGTAACACATGTCCTAACCATCTCAGTCGATGTAGCTTCACAGACTCGTCGATTGATTTCCCCTCCTCCTTGCCTAACACTCCATTAAGGTCCAACCTCAATATTACTCACCTTATTACACCACCGCCTAACACGGAAGACAGGACGCAAGCACCTATGATCAAAGACAGCTATCTAACCGTGCTTTTCAAGTCTTCCACCCTCAATGGCCACCTCTCATAGCCACCCATAAAAGAGGACGAAACGGACTGCCGAGCAGTACACACACCCTTTGCTTGATAGCCAGCCGGATATCACGTTTACTCCAGAGAGGGCGTAAACTGGCATATGCGAAACTAGCCCTCTGTATCCATGCTGAGATTTCTTCAGGGATCAACCCGTTGGCGCTGGATGATGAAACTTCCCAAATAAGTGAAGTGGTCAACGTACTCTACCACTTCACTTTCTATTTCTAAGCTAGGAGACTCAGTGTAATCCAGTCCTATAACATCATCTTACATTTGGCGGGAGCGAATCACATGCTAAACATTCGTGGATTGCAGCTCAAGGTGTTCAGAAGACTTTGCATTTCGTCAGCGTCCTCGTCTGGAAGGACTATGTCATCATCTGCATATTCTCAGTCAACGAGATTATTCCACTGATGGTAACAAATCAATCCGTGAGTCACTGAAGTGAGTTATGGTTAAGTCCATTAGCATATCTATGATGAAATTGAATAGAAATGGGGATAATGGGCATCCTTGACGGACACCACTAGTTGTCGCCACTTCAGGTGACAACTCGTCATAAACCCTCGCTTGGCTGCATGAGTTCGAGATTGTACGGCATACTTTATTTTTTTTACGTCGGTCAGATGAAGAACTTCAGAGACGCCTAAACTCCCTGTGTTTCGTTGGTTGGCTGGTTTGCTAGTCCATTCACACAAGCATTCAGAAGATGGTATCATTCTGCATTTTTTTTACAGTGGCTTTACAACAGCAGCAGCATGGTTTACAATAATAAAATAAAGTGTTTAACAAAAGTGCTTACTTCATATCCAAATCATACTTTATCTTGTCAAATTGTCCATAGTAGGTAAATATTGAATTCTATTGTTTACTGTACACAAAGTTTTGGCATGCATGTATGTGTGTGTTTACTCCTCAAAAATGTGTGTGCTTTCATCATCTTCCATTGAACCCTTGGATTAAAATTATATGTGAAAAAATAATTCAGGAGTGTTCATTAATATTGATTTTGTCACCAGATATCAATAAATGCGCTCTACAATAGACAATGGTGTTGATGCTCGACTTTTATTCTATGTTTGACTGCATAGAGGATTTCATCATGAGCTAACATCAGTTAGAGAACCATTGGAAAACCTACTAAGGAGTACTGAACAGCTGTTTCGTCCGCCTAGTTTGGGGCTCTTTATCAGCACGCACCCACTGCACTGTGGTTCGAACCCAGGACCTTCTGGTTACAAGGCTAGCTAGCTAGTAGACCATTGAACCACTGGGATCCAACTGATCCAATGGTCCTTGAATTCTCACTTCCGCAAATTCACGACATAGGGTGACTATTTCTCCTCAATGTCTTTTTCTTTTATTCTATATGAATGACCTAATAACCATTTAGGACCATGTTCCTCTTAATGACATTCTAACATACTCTATTGGTTCTACCAGCATATATATATTACCGATACTGCAAGTGAACCTGTGGATACGCAGTGGGAAGTCTAGTTCATATAATTTCTCCCTTTAATCGTAGACACTAGAATTGAAAAATATTCGAGTTTATTGATGAAAGAAGATCCAGCGTAGACTGCCTACTTCATAAGTCATTGGAAAATTTTATCTATCAACTGCTTAAATTAGCCATCATTGATTCATGCCGAGGAGCATAGTCAGAGGTAGATCAAATGACACTCCTAATCATAATACAAATCATATATCGCATGTGATTTGAACCCATCGTTTATCAATAATATTGATGTTATGCTCTATATTTATATATCTACCTATTGGATGGAGGCAGTCGGCAGAAATCCTTGGACCTAGGTTTCGTGCTAGCCTGCACTCATCAGCAAGGTATATCTGCAACTTTGAAGGGACTCATATCCGTCAGGGATGCCCATTATCCCCATTTCTATTCAGTTTCATCATAGATGTACTGATGGATTTAACTGTAGCTCACTTCAGGGACTCAGGGATTGACTTGTTACCATCAGGGAATAATTTCGTTGACTTAGCATATGCAAATGATGACATAGTCCTTCTAGACGAGGATGCAGACATAATGCAGAGCCTCCTGAACTCCTTGAGCTGCAATCTACGAATACTTGACATGCGGTTCGCTCCCTCCAAATATAAGATAATGTTACAGGACTGGACTACACTGACTCCTAGTTTAGAAATATGCAGGAGTGAAGTGGTTGTTGCGCTTATTTGGGAAGTTGCATCAGCCAGCGCAGACGGGCTGATCTCTGACGAAATCTCAGCACGGATACAGAGGGCTAGTTTCGCATATGCCAGTTTACTTCGTCTCTGGCTTAGTAGACGTGATATCCGGCTACCTGTTGACCAAAGGGTGTGTGTACTGCTTAGCAGTTCGCTTCATCCTCCTTAATGGCTGGCTGTGAGACCTGGCCATTAAGAGTGAAAGATATGTAAAGAATAGCTGTCTTTGATCATAGGTGCCTGCGTCCTGTCTTCCGTGTTAGGCAGTGGAGTAATAAGGTGAGTAATATTGAGGTTAGGCCTCAATGGAGTGTTAGGTAAGGAGGAGGGGAAATCAATCGACGAGTCTGTGAAGCTACATCGACTGAGATGATTAGAACATGTGTTACGTATTCATGCCTAGTCATCGCCTTCCTCGACAATTGGGGCAATGTTAGCTGACATAGGGTCAGGCTGGGAAAGAGCTAGTAAGTGGTGGTCGAACCAAAACATGGTTTCACCAGTCAATGAAATCCACAACAGTTAGTTAAGCCAGTCACATAGGAAGGTGTAGACTTCCAGATTGGGGTCATCGTGACGGTAAAAGCCAATGATGGCTGGAGACAATCGGTGATATGGCTCAAAGTGATCATTCGCAATGGCTGGTTGGAGCAGATGCATCCAATTCTTGTGACTTATGATTTCCATTCAAACTACATTGTTCTTCGTCATTAGTATTCCTTTATCTCACATCTCTGTTTACTGTCTCTGTTATGCTTTTCTTGTACTTTCTTCTCGCTTTGTGTGCTATATGGAGGGAGTGTGGCGACTTGAACTGCCGCACATGGGTGCACAGTTCTATGTCGAAAACAGACAGACAGATAGACCCTTCTGAGATTTGAACTGGCGTCATCGAAGGCTGCAGTAGGAGACGCTGGTCAATGACTAGTGTTCAGTCAGAGTAGGTATCAGTCTGTGTGTGTGTGTGTGTTCAACAAAGCGTTTCTGTATTTCTTAGCGAAAACACACTCGTATCTAAATATATAATCTCGTTCAAAATGGGTGAGATATGAATGACAATAATATACCCTTATTTCATTGATCCGTGGACTAGACAAGACACATGGCACATAATGTCTTCTCAGATAATAATGATGTTGATCGTTAACCCCACCCCACGCCACACGCCACACCACCCCTTTTTCCGCCGTTCAGATGACCGAATGTTTATAAAATACACAATAAACGAGCAAACAAGAATATCCTTTTCGATAATTTCCTCCTCTTCTGGCTCTACAATTATATCTACATGTTATGTTTATATACACAGAATATTCTAGATTAGTAGTCAATAACAATATTAGTGTTTTTAAATAATATCGATTTGTTAAGATCACAATGGAATCACCACAGTTCATTAAAGATGCTTAAATAATAATAATAAAGATATAATAGCAAATAGAATATCAGCTAAAATTAGGGAAATTCCACCAAAATTCAGGATTATTCAAACCTAGATGGCCAACGGGGTGAGGACAATGTCCGAACTCGTTTCTTTTGAACGTATAATTTAGGCTTTGTAATGTGGATCCCAACGGTCGGTCAACCTCAGCAATATTTAATAGTCGAACTCTTATAGCAAAATTGAGATTTGTAGGTATGTGGTAAATGACTCTGAAAGCCGCCTGGTTAACATCAATCAATCTTGTGTTCTGTATCCACAAGATGAGTGAGATAGAATAGCGCCATGTGAATAGATTTTGTTTGTCCTTTGCTTAACCGACCACTGTGCAGGGTGATGTTCGGAAATTCGACGAGAAACCCGTCTAAGTGTACGGCTTATGTAAGTAACTGGCTCACTCTACAGGAGCAGTTAAATTGGTAGATACACATGGAAGAGGCGAAATTAGGCATAGACTATATGTTTAACAGGTTCTTCTCGTAACCTCAAGGTTCTAGGTTTCAATGTGCAAACAGGATGCATAGGTGTCTACTGTTAAAGAGTCCCAAACTAGGACGAAATAGCTGACACCGGTTTTCAATGATCCTCTCTCACTCATGCTGAATTATTATTATTGCTCCCTTGGGTTCCTAGTGGTACATAGGGCTTCAACTGCACGTCTCCACTTGCCACTTCTGTCCTCTTTTTGCTGTACTTTTCACCTGAATCCATGTTAGTCTATACTGTTTCAACTCCTCTTCACACGATCTCCTCTATGTCACCCTTGAGTCGACGTCCAACTCACCGCTTCTTTTCGACCTGGTTCCACTCGATGGCCTGACGCGCGATGTCACCCAGCGGTCTCCTCAGTGAGTGTCCAACCCATCTCTTCACTTTCTCCTGCATATTTGTTGGTTGGTGATTGGTTCTTGTTTTGTTTGTTTGTTCCCATAGTTTCTTGTTGGTGCTGATTCTTTCCGGCCCGGCCATCTGATCTTCAGTTGATAAAGGTCTGCAACAGGCTGTTGGAAATACTCTTTGTGACCCGCCCGCCAAGTTTCTGATCCGTATAGAAGAAGTGACTGACTTGACGTTTGTTTGTATTGAAAATCCTACTGAATTTTGTTGTTGATACTGGCTGAGTGATGAAGATTTCCAGATTGATTTCAGGTTGATGAATGTGTTTCTCGCTCGCCTTCCCGATTCTCGCTCGATTTGACATCCTCGTCCGTTCCGACTGCGTGTAGTTGAGACAATGCTCCCTAGATAAGTAAGGTGAATGAAGTAACCTCTTTCAAATCCCTCCCGTTGGTGGTGATTGGCGCTGGATGTTGTTGTTGCTGTTGTTGTTGGTTGGTTATTTTCATAACCTCCGTCTTGTCTATATTCACCTGGAGTCGTGTCTTCGCCGGCTGCTTCTTCGACCAGTTTATCGGTTTTCGCTTGTAAGTCTTCGATTTTGTGACAGTGACATCAAACATAAATCATTCACACGCGAAATCTAGGTCTTCTAGGCTCTTCACGTCGGTCGGTCCAGGATATCTCTCCCTGTCTTCTCGTTTCCCACTCACTGTCTCTGACGCATAATCCAGTCAGTTCACCACAATTAGGAATATCATTCATTGGTGATAATAATAATAGTCTAACTTTAAGTCTTCATAAAGACTTGCTTTTGTGTATACACATTCATGTTGGCAGCAACTCACCTTCTCTTGTTTTATCTTTGGTTTTTTTACTTTTTGGTTTCTTGAAAATAAAACATTGTTGTTAACAAACAGACTAGTCCAAATGTTCAAGAAAGTCAAGAGCATACAGATGAAATAACTGGAGAAGTCGGGGAACGAGGTGTAAATGAAACCTGCACTACACATACAACTAGTACAACTTCAATGACGACTAGTGTACCAGTTTGTGTATCGAATACCAGCAGTACGACTGCCACTAATACAACAACAACGACAACTACGACTACTACTTCTACCAGCAGTCGAGTACTTGGTGTCGGGTCATCAGCTCCTCCTTCAATACTTCAACGTCCATGGGCAGATAAATTGTTAGCGGCTGCACGTGTTCAGCATGAAAATACTCGTGAAAATGCACAGGTTAGATAAATGATTTTTTTTACTAAATAACTGATCGATATACTTTTACAATACATCTAAAAGTTTTGGTGAGCTTGTTTAAAGTCCTTTGAATGCGGTTGTCCAATGTTTGTATGGGATTTGTTACGAGTTGTTGATATATATATATTATATATATATATACCCTCGTCTTTGAGTAGTCCTTCAGCTTTCTTGGTTTATTCTTCTCTGTCCATGACTACTGTTGTTCTTCCTTTGTCGACCGATTTCAAATTGTAGTATGCGTGCTGAAGATGTCGCCTGGTAGTAAGGCGATGAAAGCTTCGCAAATTAACTATCCGGCTAGCTCAGAGAACACAAACACCTAACAAAAAACATCTAAAAGTCTCTGGGCGAATCAGTTCGAGAATTGTTTAAATTTATGATCGTATTGTAATGACAGTAGACAAGGCCAGCCAGCCAGGCAATAAATCGTTTATTGAAAAAATCAACAGATATTCATAGATTTTTTTATGGACATTATTGTCAGCGGAGAAGCAACGTCTTCTGATCTGTTGTTTTCTTGCTGAAAGTTATTCTTTATTGCTTGTGACTGATTTCTCAGAAAGTTAGGCCATATATCTGCAAATCGTATTTGCACATATTCAGTCTGCTGTGATTGGTTGTTGAGTTCTTCAAGGTTAAGCTTTATTACTGTTTATTTTTCTCATGAGCTGGATTGTGGACGTAAACATTGTCGTCTACAATTTTGGCCTGGAGACAGCTCTCACCATAGTATCAGTTGCTTGTCTACTAGTATTTTGCTCTGTAGGATCAGTTAACCTAGTTAACGTATCTTCACGAGCGGGTTTACTGAAGAGGACTTGAAGTAACAAAACAAAGTACACCAGATCTAGTTTATTCTTTTTTCATCGAGGAATAAAAGGCAAAATTCTCATGTCGCACCGACTACTTGTATTTTCATGCAACTGACAATAAGCCACGCCTATTGTGTAAGTTCTAGTGATACTACTGGGTTGTCCAAATTGTGGTATGGTTGAGTTTTGGTAGTTTCCGGTCCACCTCTCTAAATGTCCTCATATAGCCAGGCGTTCATATCCTCTGCACACACACCTTCACTCAGTGGGAGTCCTCCTCTGGGGCTTACAACCTGGCTGATGAACATCCAGATCTACCTAGAGAAGCTAGGAAACCCTGGTTTTAAGTATTTGATGTACATGGCCTCCAGAATTTGGAAGGATAGGAAGACGTATGATCCTGTTTTGCTCCCCTGGGAACTATGGGGACGTAGCTCTACACCACTTCACTGCCTTGTGGATGAGACATCAAGTCAAACGTTCGAGAAATGGCTGCTGTTTAAAGCAACCAAATGATTCAGTTTTGGCAGTATATCTGAACCCATACGCAAACACTGTGGGACTTTGTGTAACACTAATAATGTGCCAAGTTGTTGTTTTAACAGTGTGTGTAAATGGGGTTCGAAGTTGTAACCGACTAGTCGACTGCCTAGACGAGTGGTCCACAATCACAGGAATATCCTACTACCGTGATGGCGAGCTACCTAGTGGCATGGTGGCCACATTGCAAACCTGATTAATAGAATTCAGTCTGCACCAAAGAAAGGACTAGACACATCGCACTAGTGTCCAGTCAAAGTATCCTCTACAGTCCTACAAGAGGTCATTCGCGAGCTCGAATAGCCAAAGTGGTAATGTCTCTGACCATACTCTGAGGAAACCATCAAGTGATATCACTAGACAAGCCCTCAAGTGGAACCCGAAAGGGAAGCGGCATGTTGGTCGTCAGTGCAAGGGTGACTTGGAGGAGGTCATGTGAAGAGGAGATGAAAGCATGTGGGCACACTTGGAGCGGGGTGAAAAAGTTCGCAGAAGACCGAACGCAATGGAGACGCGCATGTGAAGCCCTATGTTCCTCTAGGAATTAAAGGAGATAATAGTAATATAATAAACGTCTCTGACTACAGTCAGCACTGTGTGACGCAGGTTCAAATTTCAAGGGGTAGGGCATGAGTTCCTTCAAGGTTGCAAATACGCCTGTCTTGCTAACTGGTGAGTGCCAGCTAGCACGAAACCTAGGTCCTGGTAAGGCTTCCTGCCGATTGCCTCCAACCATCTAGTATCCTACCACCTTGAGATAATATTAGTGCGGTGAGAGCTGGCTGGTAGCCAAAATTGTGGTAGACATTGATTTACATCGATGTTTACGTCCTCAATATTGGTCGTAAAAAAATATGAACAAAGACCCATTCAACAACCAACCACAGCAGACTTTGCGTAGACGGATATAGTTAACATATTGATGATCTGACATTCAAGAAACAGCCACAAAGAGATGAAAGATTAACTTTCAATGAGAAACAACCAAACAGAAGACTGTGTTTTTCTGCTAACAGTAATCTATAATAATGTACATGTAAATCTATAAATATGTGTTGATTTCCTTATTATTCAAGTATTGGTTTTGTCGGGATTTTGTTTGATTGTATGGAGGATTTCATCATGAGCTGACATCAGTTAGAGAACCATTGGAAAACCAACTGGGAATACTGGACAGCTGGATGAATTTGTGAATTCGACATATTTTATTGTCAACTTATTTATTGCCTATCTCATTATTATTATTATTATTATTATTATTATCTAGGCTATACTTGAAGATCATTGTTCACGTATCTGGGCAGCTTCAGCGGATCGTACACCCAGTAGTGGTGGTGGTGGTGGCGGGGATGGTAGTGGTGGTGGAAGTGGAAGTGGAACTGGAACTGGCGGGGGTAGCGGTAGCGCTGGTGGCGGTGGTGAGATGAGACCCCTACAGGATCCTTGTACTGGCAATAGTAGCATGAATGACAATCAATCACAAAGAAATTTATGCTTAAATAATAATAATAATAATAGAAATGAGCATTCATTCATTTCATCACCACTAGTCGTAGGCATTGATGAAGCTTGTGAATGTGAATCATGTCGTCATCAGCAGCATCAACATCCAGCGTATAATAGATCATGTGGAGGCGACGGTGCCGCCAGTGAAAGTTGGTCACATCCATCCAATGTAGTAGAAAATTCAGGTTCATTTAAAAAATACTTAGAAGATATTACAATACCACAGCAAACAGGACAACACAAACAACAGCAGCATAACTCCAGTGAATGGACGACAACTGATCAGCAACAGCATACACGATCGATCATGCATCATGCCTCTGTGTATGTGTACAGTAAATCTGGAAGGTAAGTAATATATTATGATGGCAATAATCATAATAATAATAATATGCTTAAACCTTATCAGGATGTTTTATTTTTTCAAGTCTTGGTTTACAAGGATTTGATTGGTTACATTGTAACAACAGACGACAAGGGCCAGACAACCGATCGTTTATTAAGGAAACTAACATGTATTAATATATATATTTCATGTCCATTATTATAGTTTATTCAATCAGACAAACACAGTCTTCTGATTGGTTGTTTCTTGCTCAAGGTTATTCTGTACTGCTTATGACTGGTTTCTCAGAAAGTTAAGCCATATATCTACGAATCGTATTTGCCCACGTTAAGGCTGCTGTGATTGGTTGTTGAATCAGCCTTGTTCATATTTTCCCATGGCCAATATTAGTGACCTAGACATTGACGTAAATTAATGTCTACCATTTGGCTAGCATCCTGCTCTCCCCACAAAACGACTTCAATCCTTCCCGCCAAATGTAAGATGATCAGAATACAGGATTGGACTGAACTACACTGACTCCAAGCTTAGAAATAGGCAGGAGTAAAGTGGTTGTTGAGCATGTTGACCACTTCACTTATTTGGCAACTTGCATCGGCCAACGTCAACGGGGTGATCGCTGACGAAATCTCAGCACGGATACAAAGGGTTACTTTTGTGTATGCCAGTTTACTCCGTCTCTGGTGTAGACGTGATATCTGACTGGCTATCGACCAAAGGGGCGGTTGTACTGCTCAGCATCATTTCGCTCCGTCCTCGTTGATTGCTGGCTGTGAGACCTCGCCATTGAAAGTGAAGGACATGAAAGAGAAGCTTAGCTGTCTTTGATCATAGGTGCCTGGGTTCTGTATCCCGTTTTGAGTGATGGTATAATAGGGGAGCACAATATTGGAGTTAGGCGTCGAGTGCTAGGTAGGTGGGGGGGCTGTGAAGCTACATGTGTTACGCACGCATGCCTAGTCATCGCCTTCCTCGACAATGGGGGCTATGTTAGTTGACATATGGTCAGGCTGGAAAACAGCCAGTAATGGTCAGAGGAAAACATGGCTTCATCAGTTAAATGAAATCTACAACAGTTAGTTTAAGCCACATAGGAAGGTGTAGACGTCCTGGTTGCGTGGTCCTTGGGATGGTAACACCAGTGGCTGGAAATAGTCGGTGATATGGCTCAAAATCGTTGTCAATGTCTGGCGTAGATGCATCCATTCCTTATGACTTATAACGTACAACGAAACTATATTGCTCTTTGTTATTACTATTCCTTTGTCTCACACGTTTGTTTAACTGTCTCTATTATGCATTTCTTCTACTTTCTTCTCTTGCATTGTGTGACGACTTGAACTGTTGCACACCAATGCAAAGTTATATGTCGAAAGCTTATTTATTTATTTATTTAAACGCATAAAAACTTGGTACAATATGGCACCAAGAAGGATGCGCCACACAATAATAATAAAACAACATAGATCAAAAGAAAAAAAGAAAGAAAAGAAGAGAAGGAAAACAGTTATGCTTAACAAGTTCATACAGAATTCGTTAACTATCATCGGGAAGGGAAGAAAGAAGGAAATTGCAACATGTGTAATAATACGCGATAAGTTTCATTGATTGTTTGTTGCTTCATTCAATTCATTATGTGTGAGGGCTGAGATACTGTCCGGGCGCCCAGACCGAAGCAGGTGGTTTTATTAAGGGACCACCCCCGAGCCTTTGACTTGGAGTCTAGTCCGCAAGGCAGCGGACCAGCGTCAGGAGCTGCATTCCTATAGTTTCCGGTGACCCATATGGGTTCATACGCCATTTGATCCGATTGGATACTGGAGCCCATGTACCCCGTGGTAACTGCTTTTAGTTCAACCGCTATCCAGAAAACCTTCCTGACATGGTAGGATCTGCAGGCACACAGAGTCTCAGTCAGTTTAGCATGTTGGGTCATTACGGTATATAAGCCCGACCACCACGACAAGGTAGCAGTTGTCGGCCGGGATGTCGAAAACAAACAGACACTTCAATCCTGAAGTCGTAATCAGTCTCATCGATTGATTTGCCTTTCCTTAACACTAACCCTCTCTACACCTCAGAAACAGTCACAAGCCATGTGGATTATAAATGGTGTGTAACGGAGTGTGTTAGTGATTTTTTGGTTGTTGTCTGTCTATCTTTGCAACACAGTGCTGTGCCTGTAGACAACTGATCACATGAAAAATATTCCCAACACTGAGGTAGGTGGGTAGGTAGGTAGGTAGATAGACACAGAAGTCAGATTCAACTGCCGACAACCACGCAAAGAACAACAACAACAGCAGCGACAACTTTTATTCTTCACAATACAAAGTCTGTATCATTTACACATGAACAGGCAATCTGTATCTGATTTCGATGGCATGACCTTAGGGATCCTCCAAAATAAATCAGTTGAAAATTGTCCATTGAGGTTATTATGTTGGCGTATGTATTCCTTTAGGTTCCTAGTGGAATATAGGGGGCTTCAAGCCAGAGAGGCTTGAAGTTTTTGTAACAGTGGTGTTAATTTTTACGAGATTGGGGTTGCTAGCCACCTCATGCCCAACCTTCCTTCTTTAGCATTCTTAATACCGGCTTGGCGAAGTAGAGGAGTACGTCAGTGATTGGGGATCGATCCTCGGATTACATGGGGGTGTGGTTGGCGAGGATTCTACCGCGGTGTTACTGACGCGCTAACGAAGATAGATACTTGGTCCTCGTTTTTTAATAGGTTTTCAATTGGAAGACCTTCGGTAGGGTTTGTGGTTTGAAGTATTCTCCGTCTATTGCTTGGTACCCACAGTTGACTATATCAGCAAAATGTGAAGGTCTTAGAATTAAACATTTGCAGTGGATATTGAATACTAATGCACATGTTCCCCAAAACGTTTTCGAAGAATTTGCATCGTTTCATTTAAATCGTTGTGACGAAAAAGTATTTCTCAAAAGTGATGGTTTATCAATCGAATCAATGCTGAATACTGTAAATATCATCCAGGAGGCTTCCTGGGACGAGAAGTAAAAGGCGGAGAGGTGATCAGTCCTTGACGCGTGGCCTCGTGGGATGAAGGATATTCGTGTGTTAGTTTAGTGTCGTTTGGTGCGTCACGACTCCCTGGTTGGAATCCGAATGAGATAACTCGAATCGATGGCTCGAAACGTTATCGGCTACGGCTAAGAATCGTAGTCATCAGTGTCGGACATGCTGCAGTTTCTTCCTTTCTCGCCTTCTCGACAATAATTGACGAATGCTGTTTGAATTTGTTAAGTATGACTGTTTTCCTTCCAGATGAAGTTTTTTATTCGTTCTCCAACTATAATTTTTTCTCAAGTGATGGTTTGTAGGGATTTAATTGGTTTCAGGATTTCATCATGAGCTGACATTAGTTAGAGAACCATTGGAAAACCTGGAGTACTGGACAGGTGTTTCGTCCTAGTTTGGGACTCTTCATCAGTACGCACCGGCTGCACCCTACTGGTGCACCAGTAGGGTGCAGCGGGTCGGGTGTGAGGACAACTACTCGCCGAAGACATTGGCTAGCGGTCGCGCTATGTGAATTGGCAGAAGTTAGAATTCAAGGACCATTGGATCGGGTCTCAGTGCTTAGTGGTGTACGAGCTTGCCTTGTAACCGGAAGGTCCTGGGTTCGAACCCGTTTAGTGGATGTATACTGCTGAAGAGTCCCAAACTAGGACGGGGGAAACAGCTGTCCATCTCCCTGGCAGGTTTTCCAATGGTTCTCTAACTGATGTCAGCTCATGATGAAATCCTATAATTTTTTTACTTGTTATCTATGTTGTTTTATTATCATTATTGTGTTGCGCATCATCTTGGTGTAGTGCCATACCTCGCTGAACCAGTAATAGGACTGGCAAAGAGGGAAAGCTGGGCATGAGGCTAGCAACTGAAACTGCTACCGAAACATCGAGCCTGTACCTTGAAGCCCTATGTTCCACTGGGCACGTAAAGGAAAAAATACTAATTTATATATATCACCAATTGTCTCCAGCCACTGGTTGTTACCATCTCGAGGACTCCAACCAGGAAGTCTACGTCCTATGTGGCTTAAACCAACTCTTATGGGTTTCATTGACTAGTGTCATATTTTGGTTTGACCACCACTAGCTAAGTCTCTTCCAACCTGATCCATCCCTATGTCAGCAGCTAACATTGCTCATTGTCGAAGAAAATGATGGATGACTAGGAATGCGTGGATGCGTAACGCATGTCCTAACCATCTCAATTGGTGTAACTTCACAGCCTTGTCGAATGATTTCCCATTCCTTACCTATCCGGGAAATTCCAGTTAGAGCTTTAAAGTTTCAGTAGGAGCAGCGGTGATGTTTGTTTCACTCTTCCCCTCGCCGCTCCCATCAGCCTTCCGTCTTTTCACACCGGCCTTACTACCCCGGCAGCTGGATGAAGTAAAGGTGGGTGTAGGCCGGACATCGAACCCTGATGAACTACCGAACAACCACTCCCCAGATGCCTAGCTCAAATCACAACAGCCAAAGACTCCACCTTTACACAATTGTAAAGGTGGATTCCCTTCAAAAGGAAAACAAACTGATGATTTCTCATTATTTATTATTTCCTCCAATTTTTTTGTGTGGGTGGTCCATTTTATGTCTGTTTCCTCATTGCCCGCTAACTGTCTGTCGCATTATTCAATCTACTGCAATCAGGAAAATCATTAGCCATAGTAGACAGCCTTGCCTCACTCCCGTCCTCACTTCGAAGGCTTCCGTAATTTTCTCGTTGTGGATTACTTGTCACGCGCAGCATTGTCGTATAACTGTTGGATGAGATGTATAATTGTCGATGGCACCCTTTGGTAGTAGCGAAGTAGTTGCCAAATCACCTCTCGATCGACGCTGCGCTATCGAAGGCCTTTTCAAACTCGATGAAGTTGAGTGAGGTAAAGTGGTGACTGCCATTCCAAGCTTTGTTCAATGATGATCCGTAGAGTGGCGATTTGATCAATACATGACTTGTTTC